GGCCAATCACAGTCGATCGTCATATGGCGTCAGTGATACATAGCAAAGACACACTTGCATAACCTTGCGCGGCTTGCCCAGGAGGAAGAGGAGGCGAGCGCACAGGCAGGCAGGCAGGCGGGTGGGGAATCTAAAAATGGCGTCGCGCGGAAACTCTCCGCGTAATGTGAGCACGTTAGGTTCTGGCAGGGCACCGCGTTAACGTGGAAACGCGGAATGTGGGACCGCGTAAAGCGAGGGTTGACTGTACTGTGTAATGAGATGCACCCATTTTAAAGCCTGCATTACATTTCCCTATTTCACTGCACTTTCCTACAAGATTTACATAATCTTTTTTTGTAATCATAGATAAAGCTAAAATGCATGGTGTATACTGTATACCAATAGGTATGGATTATCTCTTGAATTGGGTGCAAGTAATCTTGGGTACGACTTATCTCGTGAGTTGGGTACGAGATGACCCTAACCCCCCCAAAAAACACTAATTCAATGAGCCAGCAACTAAACATGATTTTTGTAGATTTTTATATTTTTCTTCACTGATGATTATTGTTTCTTTATATAAATGATTGTTTTTGTTATTTTAGTTATGTACGTATTGTTTTTGTTATTTTAGTTATGTACGTATTATTTCTTCTCCTTCAGGTTAGGTTGATTTTTTTTATTTTTTTTAGTTGGGTAATAGAATTGGGAGAGGAGCTAAACAATAATTAAAAATACAGGTGCTCCCCGACTTACGACGGGGTTAGGGACCCAAATCCAGGTCGTAAGTCCAACATTGATAAAAAATAAAATAAATAAATAAATAAAAAATAATTTTTTTTTTATAAAAATCTACAATGAAATACAGTACAGAAAAAGTAATAAATAATGAGGAATGGATACATTGTGACTGAGCACTTTCCTTTAATGTAGTCAGTTGAATGCACACAGGGCCCCCATAAGTTTCTATTTACAGGATACATGGAGACTATATTAATTGGATGAAGCAGAGGAGGAGACAGGGCTGGGTGGGTCATCAATGTTGCTTTCTTCAGACAGGTTTATGTACTGTGGAAACTTGTTGGTTGAAGATATTGGATCATCTTGAGGGAGTGAAGAGGCAGCACTGGGGGGCTTCTTAAAATAGATGTCCAATTTAGACTGCACAGTTTATTTTTTCTTTTCATTATAAATTTCTCTGTAGCAAGCAAGTGCATCTTGGATCATTCTGTCAACTTTGGCATAACGCTCATAATTTTGATCCATGCCATCAAACATTTGCATTCCTTTATTAATTGTAGCAAATGCCTCTGCCATTTGTTTCACTGAAAACTTTTTGGGGAGTGCAGGTTGTTCTTCTACATTTTGTCTCTCTTCTTCCTCTGCAATTTTCTGTGCATCTAGCTCAATAAGATCCTCGTTACTGAGCTCTTCTGCTACACTTTCAACCAGCTGTCCAACATCTTCATTTTCAATTTCTTACTCCAGCTGTTTACCTAACTCCACTATTTTGTTAATAATATCCGAAATAACTTCATTTTCATTAAATCCTTTGAAACTGTTCACATATCTTTTCAGGATTTTCTTCCATATTCCATTCATGCAATGTTTTGTAACCTGATCCCATGCTGCACTAATGTTCTTTATACATGACAAAATGTTGTACTCCTTCCAAAACTCTCTGAGCGTTTTCTCACCTTCAGTAGCAGCAACAGCCTGAGCGAAGGTTGTGCGTAAATAATACGCTTTAAAGGCAGCAATAGCACCTTGATCCATGGGTTGGATGATAGAGGTAGTGTTAGGTGGAATGTAGACTATCTTAACATCAGGGTGCATGTTGTCCAGGTGTGGTGGGTGTCCCGGAGCATTATCCAAAATCAGCAAAATCTTGAATGGAATCCGTTGTTGCAGACAATACTCCTTGGCTCGTGGAATGAAACAAGTCATGAACCAATCCTCATACAGTGCTAAGGTCATCCAGGCTTTCTTATTACTGCGATAAAACACTGGCAGTGTGTGCTTGCTGACATGTTTAAAAGCCCTGGGGTTCTCTGAATTATAGATCATGAAGGGCTTTAGCTTGAAACCAGCAACATTCCCCCCAACAGAAGTGTTATTCTGTCCTTGAATGCCTTGAATCCTGGCATTGTTTTCGACTCTTTGTGGATGTATGTCCGCTCAGGCATGCGCTTCCACAATAATCCAGTCTCATCCACATTGAATATTTGCTCAGGCAAATAATTCCTTTCCACAATCACTTCATCTAGCTCCTCCTGAAAAGCTTCGGCAGCACCAACATCGGCACTAGCTGCTTCTCCACTCACCTTAACATTGTGTAGACTGTAGCGGTTTTTAAATCTATCAAACCACCCATGACTTCCTATAAAGGTTTGATCACATTCATCTCCTGCCTGCTCCTTCTGGCTTTGGAACAGGATTCTTGCTTTAGCCTGTATGGTTAGAAGGCTTAAGGGTACACGCTTCTGTATCTGGTCTTCTATCCATATCACCAATAATTTTTCCATGTCGTGAATAGGGCCTTGGCTTTTCTTTGAAATTATAGTTCCCTTTATTGGTGTTGTTCCTTTCACTACATCACGAATACGTTACTTGTCCTTCAGATTAGTGGATATGGTCGAGTGTGAGAAACCTAGGTCGCGTGAGATTGTTGCTACAGTCTTTCCATTCTCATGCTGAGTTATTATCTTCATTTTCATCTCAAAAGTAATTGCCTGTCTCCTTTTCTTTGGAGCACCACCAGCACTCTCACTTTTACGCTTTCCAGTCATTATAAAGTCAATTATATACGATAATAACGAAAGTTCTTAGCGCGATCAGTATAGGATACGATAGCCAAACACCAACTAAGCGCTCCACTGAGTGAGTGCACCCACACGGTGACCCAAGCCTGCCCGCCGTGCTCTCGCCCGGGACAGAAACGTTTCGGTATAGAAAATGCGCGCGTCATTTGAAAATATTTTTGGTCACGACTGCCGCGGTCGTATGTCCCGACGGTCGTAAGGTCAGAGCAGGTCGTAAGTACCGATGGACGTAAGTCCAAGCAGTCGTAAGTAGGGGAGCACCTGTACAGCACTTCACTCTCTAGAGGCTCTGTCGGAGATTTGTAGTTTTCGAGTTTTTACTTTTCAATTTCACGTAAGACAGTACACATTCATGGGGATATAACAGTAATATCTCCATTAGCCGTAACTCTCTGATAGCCGGAATATAAATTTTCTCTGAAAATAATTTCCAAAACCGAAATTATCCATAAATTTACGGCTTTGGGAAAAAATTTTCGAGGGGCACTTTACTGGAAAATTCTGAGAAAATTGTCCCAGTACCTGGATTTTTATTACATTTTTTTCCAGGGTTTAGAGATGAAAATCAAGTGCATTTTCTAGAAATTTTGACAAAAATTTTCCAGTACCCAGAAAATTCCAAGGATGGGGGATATTTTTCCGGGTTCGAGAAATGGTGTAATGCGCAATTTCTGGAACTTCCAGAAAATCTTTCCGTTACCCAGAAAATTCCGGGAATGAGGGATTTTTTCCGGCTTTGATAGATTTACCTCGTTACCCTGAAATCTCTCATTCCTGGAACTCTGCACCAATTGTTCCGGCTAATGGATGTATCACTATACTGTACTGTCCATTACTGTACTTCTTACTCAGTCAATCAGCGGAGGTGTCGATGTCATGTGATACTCGTGTATGTGTGTGTGCTTATTTGCATTTTCGTTGGATTTTTTTCTTTAGGTTTTTCTTCTTTAGGTTCCATTATTTTTACCTTTGTCTTGTTGGGTCGGGTTAAGTTTACATATCGGAGGGTCTAGGGAGGTTCTGACCCCTCCACCCCCTGCCGGGTAGATTAGGTTAGGCCTTTTTATTTTCTCTTGTTTTGGTAAGGTAGACAGGTATACTGATATAAGATATTTTTATTTGAATGCTATTAAGTGTCAACAGAAAATAAAAAAATTTGTGTGTGTGTGTTTTTTGGTCTGTTATTCAAATCTGATCTTCATTTCTTTTGCAAATTAAAGTTTATTTATTTTTTTTAATAACAGCAACTGCTAATTTGCACCAAAATTGTAGTCAGGTTTTGAGTAAAACACAACCAAACATTTTGGTTGGAGCTTACCTGCTACTGTGGTGGAGGACACAGCTGGCAATCAGGAGACAAGTGGTGGAGGATGGTAATTACTGTCTTTTCTTAAAACTAAACAATTTCCACACATAGGACACATGGACACACTCTTGATGTTGGTAGGACACTGTGGTCTTGTAATATTTTTAGATATGGGAGATAACACTTATTATATGCCATCACGAAAGCCTTCAAAATTTGAAATTGCGTGGTGGAAGGCTGGTTAAAAATGATTGGCCAGCCATGTCACATGACACATCATGAAGAGGAGGAGACAAGTGACTGGCAACATTTCGGATACAGAAATATACACATAGAAACTTGTGAGTTACTCCATTAATATTAATTTGCACAAGAAATTATATGAAGTGATATGTTTCGGTTTTTTTTAGTCTTTTTGTCTGTAATACAGTACAGTATATTGAAAACCTTCTGACAACCAATGGACAAATATTAACCATATTTTTTACATCAAATTCAGCTTAAAGCGGGTCCCTGTAACCACCTCCAACATCACTGTGTTGACTTGGTTGATTTGTGTGTGATGCACGCATCTCATAGTTTGCCACCTACAGACAATAATAACCTTATATGAGTTGTACAAATCTTTATTTATTCTTTTATCTCTTTTAAGGATACTAATGCTGCTAGTGATAAGGAAAAGAAGGAAAGCAAGAAAATAAAGGAGAATGCTGATGGTGATAAGGAAAAAAAGGAAACCAAGAAATCAAAGGATAATGCTGATAGTGATAAAGAAAAAAAGGAAACCAAGAAATTAAAGAAAGATGAGTTTTCTTCTGATGCTAAAACAAAGGATGGCAAGAAGTGGAACCTGAAGGTGGTTTCATGGAATGTGGATGGAGTGCGAGCATGGTTGAAGGTACAGTACAGTATAAGAGTTTACATTAATACTGAAAGGATTGCTATTTATTCACAGTTATTGTTTGTATCTTATTAAGAATTATTATTGGCGTGGAGACAATTGTATAAGTGAACTGTAAGAAAGAAAGAAAGAAGAGTGGCACCTTTTTTGTGTGGACTATTTCCATGTAGCCAGTTGCTGGGTTGGTGGTTTTGTCAACAATACTGTACCAAAGACCAGGATGGAATGGTTTAAACCTTTTACTTTTCTTAAGCCTATATTCCCGTGAGTTTTAGATCACCTTTACGTATATACATTTTCCCAAGAATATAGACTAAGTTCACAATTTAAATACGTTCATTAGTTTTCATTAAAAAAATTTAATAAATAAAGCGTTTGTTTTCCCAAAAGTGCTTAACAATTCAAAACAGATTTTGTTCAAATTTCTTACACAAGTACTTCTCTGCATGATGGTTAAGGATTTAAGATTAAAATTTTAAAATTCAAGTAATTCAATATTGCTGTGCTCATGAGTTTTAAGTCGTGTTTATACAGTATAGGTATACATTCTCTCGAGAATGGAGTAAGACAAATATTGTATTTTAGGTTGACAAAGAAAATTAATTTTGGTTTCAGAAAAGTGGATTGTCAGTGTTTGAAGATGAGGATCCTGATGTTGTCTGCCTCCAAGAGACAAAATGTTCTGAAGGAAAACTCCCAGAGGAACTCAAGAATATCAAGGGTTACAAAAGTTACTTCATGCATGGTTAGTATTTCTTATTTTTCATCAATGGTTTTTAATCTGGAATAATAAGAAATTAAAGTTCTGTACAGTACCTCCAGTCCATGTTGCTGGAATGGGATGTGATGTGTTCTAGAGTTTATCATGACTACCAGTTCATGAGTGACTACCATCTTACATAGTGGGAAAGAGACTCAGTGCCACTACCACAATCAGCTGATCATAACAAGCTGGGTGGAATTGTACCATACCATGTTAAGAAAAACATTTAATTTTCTTGTAATTAGTTCTCTGAATCCTTAGTTCACCTGTACTACAGTATTTTTATATATTTTTTATTTCTATAGTTTTCCTGAAACCTTTTCATTCTATTCTTGCAGCCATGCTTCGATTAAAGTAACATGAAATACATATGCAGTAGATATCTGTATGAAATACAATGTAAAATACATATAAGTGGTTTCAGGATCAACAGTTTCAGCTAGTAGTGGGAAGGGATTCAGTGGTGGTATTGTTGGTGTGTTCAGTCTCTCCTTCCTGTGGTTTAAGTAAACTTGGGTCTCCTTTGATTGATGTCAGGTTGTAGAATGGGATTTCTATAACATGCAGTGGCTTACAAGTGTATAAGATGAATGATTTTTGGAGTGAAATGTGTGGATTTGACTTTGCAGATATACTTAGCCTCTGGAAAAGTTGAATGATTGTATTCATATTGTAAGTAATGTATGTTATAATTTATTAATCTAATACAAAGCATTATTATTTTCAGCCAAAAAGGATGGATATTCAGGTGTTGCACTTTACTCCAAGATTGAGCCACTGTCAGTGACTTATGGCATTAATGATGAGGAACATGATGAAGAGGGACGCTGTATTACAGCAGAGTTTGAGAAATATTTTGTAGTCACTGCATGTAAGTATTATGAAAGACATTTTCCTTGTTGCATAAACAAGCCTTAGTACAGTATTGTATTGTATTTTAGAAAATCATAATTTTAAGTGTTTTACTTCAGGTGTAAAATGAGCTGTTATGTAAAGAAAAATGAAGATTACTTTAAGTCCCGTAAAAATCCAGACAGTTAATGAAGTGTAACTTCATATGTGGGTACAGTATCTTAAAAAAATATTACCTGTACTTGGTATTGTATAATAAGAAAATTTTGCGGTGGTAGCTAATATATTGTAATTTACAGAACCTAGGTCAGCTCGTTTGGTGTTCATTGGCCCTAGAAAACCTTACAGGTCTGTACCTCTGGTACTCTGAGGCTCCCAAAAGCCTCACAGGTCCATGCCTGAAACATTTGCAAACTTGCCATTGAAAAATTAAGGTGTTTCTTGTTTATTAAAGGAAAATACTTTCAAGTTTGATTTTTTCTCTTTAACTAAATTCTCCAAGTATTTTATAATTTAAGTGATATTTAGAGTAGGATATTTATATAAATTTCTACATTTATTTGTTTCAAGCTTAATGCATTTTTCCCATTTTGCAGTGCAACCTACTTACATAAAAAAAAGTTGGGGCCCACTGTAATGTAATGCATTTTCATATGAATCCTAACTAGTTGCAGGAAGTACTCTGCCTCATGCCATACAATTTTCTTAATTCTTCATTTTATGTAATTGCTCTTGCTCATAGTTGTTGTCACTCCTTGTTTTTGGTCCACAGAGTGGGACAGTTACTGTGCATACTGTAATTGCTTTTGGCATTAACTATAGTAAGTGCTTCATAAAGTTCTTATTTTGATCACAAGTGTTCTATTTTAAGAACCATTTTTGTCTTGTAAAATGGTCTGTATCTCAACAGATGTCCCAAATGCTGGAAAGAAACTTGTCACTTTGGACAAAAGGTTGGACTGGGATCCCAAGTTTCGCGAGTACCTTCAAGACCTTGATGCTAAAAAGACTGTAATCTTGTGTGGAGACCTAAATGTGTCTCACAAAGAAATTGGTAAGTGAGATTTTATGATTTTTAGGTAAAGATTAAAAAAATAAATAAAAAATGTGTGCTATAATAATATAACCTTCTGAAGCTGGTGGACATATGATGAAGTTGTCTCAATAATGATAATGAAAAAAAAGGGAGTTGTCTCAATAATGATCATGAAAAAAAAAGGGACGGAAAGTAGAACACCTGTTTCACTAGCAGATAAAACTATTGTTAATGATCAGATGATAAAAAGGCAGAAGCTAAGTACTGTACGTATCTTATAATTAGGTTTTTCGAGCAGTAACAGACTGCTTACGGTGGTTGTGTGGAATAAAGTGTGTACATGATTCAACACTACATGATGGAGGGACAGTATATATAAGTTAATTATATGAGACCCATACTGACTTAACCTCTGTTTATTATAGATTTGGCTAATCCAAAGTCAAACAAGAAGAATGCTGGATTTACACAGGAAGAAAAAGATGGCTTTTCAGATCTTCTTGCTGCTGGTTTTGTGGATTCATTCAGGCATCTATATCCAGACAAAACTGCGCAGTATACGTTTTGGACCTACATGTTTAACTGTAGGGCAAAAAATGTTGGCTGGTAAGTTTTGTTACTGTGGTATGAAATTCCTCATCTTTGTTACAAGATTTAATTAAATCTTAATGCCTAGGTCTATCCACAACAGGTGTATAATTTATAGAATATTTCTCGTTGATTCACTTTGCAAATTATGTTACCGCATTAGCCGAGAATTTATATATTGTACTCTGTATCCTTAAACACACACCTGCCTTTTCTTACTCAGGAACTATCATTGCTTTGATAGTATTTAAAAGCCCTAGTTTATAGGAACTTGCATTTGACTGTCCATTGTTTATTAATGTTCATTTTGCCTTTAATTCACAAACCCCATTTTAAATCGCCTAATTTTGTTCCGTTTTACTCCAAGCTTGAGGTAGTAAAGTACATGGGATGTCTACAAGAAGTGTAATCAAGAAAATGTACTTATTAATATATGTACTGATACTTTTTTCTTTTTTTCAGGAGGTTGGATTACTTTGTCCTCTCAGAACGCTTAGTTCCTCAACTGTGTGATAACATTATTCGTGATTCACTCTATGGCTCTGATCATTGCCCAATCACACTGCTCATGCATATGTGATAACCATTTGTATTCTCATCTACATACATACATGTTGCTGTGAAGTGATATCACAAAAAAAGTTAAGCATATTTCTTAGATTAATTTTGAATTAAAGTGACATCTCCACTTTTCAGTACAATACTGTATGTTTTCCCATATTTTCTTATTGCCCACGATGTGTTTTGCATTGATGATCACATGATTAGGAGATTTTTCCTGTAAATTTGATGCATATTATATGAAAAGTTTTGATGCAGTACTTTTCTGGTGTTTGTACCTGATAATGATTTATGAATTCAGCATTATTTTTTCTTAATTTGTGTTTACTTTAACATTATTCTTACATACTTTGAAAATGTTTTAAATAATGTCAGCAGTAGTCGAGTCATTTATTGTTTTTACATGTTGATGAATTTAGTTAGTAAAATTAGGGCTGTTCAACGTTCCATTTCACTTCTTTTCTATATCTCTCCTTCAAACATTTGCATATCATTTAACTGTACTAGAGCTACAGAAAGTATCTTTTTGGAGTGGTCAATGAATATCATAATGAACACTGCAACTCCCATTGTCTTGGTAGGGTTGTCAAAATCATTCATCCTTTGTCATATCGTCTAGCAAAATAAAATTCCCAAATAGTTTTTGTAGCGAATATACCAACTGTCACTATTCCATTCTTCTTTTCAGCTTTTTATTTTGCCTTGTGCCTTGGGTAAATATTTTTTTAATACTTCTCAGCTAATTTTATCTCCTGTGTGTATGGTGTCAGCTTTTGTATGATCAACCATTCTTTCACATTATTCTCACAATTATGTAGAGTTTGATTGTTTTAATGCACCTTAAGTTATATTTACATTACTTGAGTCTTATCTATAAAAGGAATAATGCAGTGGTAGTTTTATTACTTGCTGTAGTTATGTAAAAGTACTGGTTTTAATGTGTCATTTATATGTTCTGAATTTAATTATTTGTTCTTTTCTTACTAAAAGGAAACTGAAAAATTAATGAAACGTAAATAATTATTGAAAGTTTTGTGTGTGATTTCTTCCAGCTGTCATGTTAATCACTCAGGATATGATGACTGTATGGTCTATATATACTGTAATTCAAGGTATTTTCTTCCAGCTGTCATGTTAATCACTCAGGATATGATGACTGTATGCTATATATACTGTAATTCAAGTTGAAGAAAATGATCTTTAATTTTTTTATCAATACTGTATTGTAAGAAAATTTTCTTTGTTTTTTTAAATAAATGACTGTGTTAGCTTTTCCTTTTACAGTATTAACCTCAAATGTAGGGGAGAGTTGAATCACTCTGCCTGGTCCTAGTTCACCTACCCCAGTTATCTCCCAATATTGTTCAGGCATTGAAGCAACAGGATGCTGTGTGTTGTGAAGATAATTGAGGTGAGGCAGATAGAACATTCCTAAGCAAAGTAACATTAGCTCTCTTAGGTATTTTCTAGCAGGAAAAAGTAGTGTATATTCTGAGAAATAGCAAATTTAAAAATACAGGCATTTGCTGAATTACATCTTCCTAAACCGCTTCGTTTCGATATAAAACTGTTTAATAATTAGGGAACAATATTGATATGTCGCTGAAGTCTGATATACCTGTAGTGTCAATTTCAATCTACCATGCACCAGTGTGGCAGTGAGGAGGTAGTGTCACCCCCAGACTTTCCCAGCCCGCCAAAATTCAGTCGCACATTCTACCTTGGTGACAACAACTGGTACTGCACCCAAGAAATCCCATCTTTTTATCAGTTAAGATGTGAAGTACAAAGAGAGAGAGAGAGAGGCTGGGGACAATACCACCTTGGAAGGCAGAGGAGAAACAGGTTGGAGAGGAGAGTGATGTGCCTGTAGAAACACTGAACTGTACATGGTTAGTTTAAGTCTGTGAGTCTTTGTTTTAATTATCACGGCTACAGTGTACACACCATTTAGTGATACAGGTATACCATATACATATATATTTTAATTATTTGTGTGGCAGCTCCTGGCTTCGGTAATCAGTTTCAATAGCCTAGACTGTTTACAGAGTCTGGGATGCCCTAATCACTATGGAGAAAAATCCTGCACTTAGTCACTAATCCAGATATAATTGATGTCCTGTCAACACCCTGGACTCCGAGGAGAACTGCCACGATACTTATGAACACCTAAGTATTCGCAATAAAGACAGGTAAGCAGGACATGTCTGAATACAGTTCATCTAATTAGAAATAATGAGGACAAACCTTTCAAATATTTATTTCAACTGCATCTATGATTAATATCTGGGCTTTTTGTTGTATGGGTTTTAAGTGTTTGTGTAGGTGGCAGTGTTTGTATGTTTTTATATGTACAGGATATTTATGAAGCATTTTGAAGTTTAACAAATTTGTAAGTATTGGTAATAGAATCAATTTGTGAATGGTGTATAAAAGATATATTGATCAAATTTTAGCATAATTACTCGTAAATTTATAGCTTTCTCCCCAAACCATCTTTCATGAAATATGTTCATTTGGGTTCTAGGAACAGTTGGTTAAACACGACAGGATAACAACATAGTCTGTATTATGTCTGATATTGGCTTTACCTTATTTCAGGATGCAGAAACATTTATTACTTAATTTGCAAACGAAGAGAGACAGAGGGGGGGGGGGAGTAAAAATCTGATAAGGGACAATGTGAGCGTGAAAAAAATTCCTTTAACATTTAAAACTATTGAATATTGTAAGCATGTATATGTACTTTTCTTCCGAAGATTTTGTAGGCTGGTGGGTTTCTTTTAAACTTTTCTTTCGCAACTACAGTACGACTCTCCCCAGTGAGTCAAGGTCTCCAGGGTCATGGTTTATCATTCGCACACCCAGCTTCTCTAAGATTATTCATTCGCTTGAAGTTGAATGCCTTTGTATGCATCCTTATTGTATTGAGCATTAAACTTTCTTCTCACAGATGTTATTGTTGGCCATAAAACAGTTAATCTCCTCTACTCTCGTCATTTCAATCAGTGTAATTTATTTTCTTGACTTGCTGTCTGTCTCGACCCTTCCCAGTGTTCGTATGATGGTGTTCTGGCTACTCGAGAAACAAAGTGTTTTTTTCAGACTCGTGAACTGAAGTCAATACCTCTGGTGCCATGTTAGTCCCCCCCCTTCCCATGCAGATATCCCGAGTTTGTTTCCTGACAAGTGAGGTACAGTAAAGCCTCCGATAACAACGGTTCGATCAACTTCTTTTCATATTTAAGACCCTAGTTAATTTAGGACCCAATTCAATATACATCATTATTTCTTCGTATTTATGACCAAAATATAATAAAATAAAATTTTCATATAAATAATAACTAAATCCCGATATGTATTATAAAAAAAAAATTGTAAAAAAAAATGAAGAGCGCCTTGCACAAAGAAGCTGCCTGGCTAATGAGTGGTAATGTGCATCGCAAGTAAACAACAGTCGGAGCTTGGCGATCCCTTTGTTTTCGAGCATTTGAACAGGAATGAGAAAAACTTTCTCTGGTTTCTTACAGCATTTTTGCATCCCTATTCAATATGAGCAAGAGAGCAAGTGAAGTAGTAGTGTTGTTTCAAAAGCTAATAGAAAGTGTATAAGCTTAGCTGAGAAACTAGAAGTGTTAAAACGATATGAAAAAAGTGAGAGGTCTGTGGATATTATGTGGAGCAAGCAATGAACATATTTTTTGAAGTGGATCCATTAACAGAAAGAATTAAAATTTAAATAAATGCAAATGACCTCTACATAAAGATGTATTATGAGAAAAGAAAGCAGCTGTGCAAGGTTCTTTTGACAGCTTTATTATTCAAAGGCCTAAACCATCAACTTCAGCTACACCATCAAATTCAGCATCATAAGCAGCTTCAACATCAACTTCAGGTTCAGTAATAGTTTCAGCAACAGCTTTATGGAAAGCTACAGCTTCAGCCAGAGTTGAACCTGATGACTTTGTCATCCGAGTAAAATCTTGCATAATAGTCATTTTTTCCCTTATGTTTTAGGGCCGTATTGATAGTCATTACGAAGCACAATGCCAATTGATAGTGTTCGTGCTGGTCTATTAATAGTCATCCCGATAAACAAGGTATCGGAAGGGAACAGTACGCATATCCCTGAAATGTTGGAAACAACATCGAGTGGCTACCCCCACCCGATAGCTGCCTTACGACAAATAATAATCATTATATTTTATGAAAGTTTTCCAGTACTTTATTACAGATGTCTACGTCGAATTATATTATTATTTTTTGATAAGAACAATTAAAAGAAGTGTTAATACGGATAAATGAACTTTCACAACAGTTATGAACTTGAAACATTTTTGGAATGTTGACATCACAGCTCCGACTTCGATGACGACTGCTGTCTGTGCTGTGAGCCTCGTCTTCAATTAACAATTACTTCTGTTATCATTTAAGGTATGTTTCTTATCTTTATTCATTCATACAATATTTTTGTTGTAGTAATAAAATTTCAACCATCTGAACCACGAAATTCACGTATGTTTTCCGGAATGAGGCAAGCCAAGTGAGCTCGCTTTATCTTGAGTTAGCAAGGAAAATATCACAGTTTTTGGCCCAGTAATATAGTTTAGTTTAAACTTTAATATTTATTTTCAACAAGATAGAAGCTACGGTTTATGATCTACAATGTCTTGTGTGTGTCAGGCAGAAATATGACGACATAAGTAAGCATTAGATTTCATTTTCTTTATTCTTTAACTTAAATATTTACTGTCACTAATAAAATAAAGAATAAGTACAGCTTACTATCAATCCAAATAATTTGCTCTAAAATTCTGCAATACTAGGCTACATCACAGTTTTAATGATACACCCAACACCACTCTTTGGCTAAAAAAAAATCTATTTACTTTTAATTTTTACAATTGATATTTTCATTCATCTAAGTATAACTACATTTTTAGCTATATTCTAAACAATATCAAAAAAGCACACAGCACAGTAGACAGTTTGGGAGTGACAATTAAACAACTTGACGTAGTTTGGCTCTTAAGAAATTTCTATGCAATTTGAAGTGTGTACAATGCAAGGCAGGGGCCCCCACTGCCCTGGGATGAGAGATCAGTTTAACTTTGCCATCTGTATGATGGTATTCAATCAGCAACACTTACAGATTTCTATAAAAACATTGGTTAATTGAAAAAAAATGTGGATCAGTCATATTTAATATTTTGTTAGGTTAAGTTAAAATTGGGTAAGGTTAAGTTAGGTTAAGTTAAAATTGGGTAAGGTTAAGTTAGGTTAAGTTAAAATTGGGTAAGGTTAAGTTAGGTTAAGTTTAAATTCGATTAGATTAAGTTAAAGTGAGGTTAGGTTAGGTTTTTTTTTTTTAAAGTTAAAGATAGGTTAGATCCATATTTTGTGCCAGTTATTTACTGGTAATGTGGGGCAATTTTCCAGGGGGCAATTGTGAAGGGGTCAGTTGTCCTTGAAATAAATTTTATTACAAAATTTCAATTAAGAACAAATAAATAAAAAGTCCTAGAAATAAATTTTATTACAAAATTTCAATTAAGAACAAATTAATAAAATGATAATGTTATAATTTTACAGCATGCAGACCTACAGGTACAGACAAGACTTTGATAAACTTGAAGAAATAAGGATGTTAAGTCAGCTAGATAATATGAGGAAGCGACGATTTCATGTAAGATGAAATCCTTTTTAGTATTATAATGAAAAGGAATTTATTCATCACTACAGATTGTCGAAGGACAGCACCAGGGAGATGCTTACAAAAATCAGACATCTTCTCCCGATGTCACTGAGCAGTAGAGGTAATCAATTACAGTATTTATTATATCAATACAGTATATTAGTGCTCATCAGATGCTTGAGGAACAGCTTGATAAATGTCATGATCATGAAATATGAAGTACAGTTGGGTCTTCATTTACGCGGTCAATTGAACCCGCGGAGTAGCGCGTAAAACGAGAAACGCTGAAATGAAATTACAGAACATATGGGATTAATTGAAATAGAGACTGGGCTGACTCCCAAACTCCATTTTTTCAGACACAATACCTACATTGTAGTATAATTTGTATCTTAACTTTATGATGGTATGCACACATATAAATTAGAAGCGAAATATCAGTAAGAGAATAATATACTGTACCAGGTAAAAGAAAAATCAAGGTTTAACCCTTACATCAGGTTATGGTAGGTTAGAAAAAATCAGGGTTAGGCGGGAGATGGTGAAATGACCAAAATCATAAACGAAATCCGCATAAATCGAGACCCAACTGTATGTTTTTAGTGAGAGGGGGATTAGGTTCAATTTAAACAAACAGTACTGTACAGCATAATTTTTTCCCTGTGAGTGCTAATTCCCTAAGACATTACGAGGAATAGTATACAAGGTACAGTAGTATCTTTTATTTTCTCTCTTTCCTTTCAGGCATTCCAATTTCTCCAAGTTTACAGCTACTGGTTGCCATGAGATATATGGCTACAGGAAATTTTCAAATAACTATGGGAGACTGTTCAGACATGTCTCAGCCAAGTGTTAGCAAATGTGTCCGGGATGTTTCTGCTGCCTTTGCCACTCTTGCAAGAGAATATATTAAATTCCCCTTACCTGGATGAGAAGAAGAATTCATGCAGGAATTTGCCTCTATTGCTGGAATGCCAGGTGTGATAGGCTGTGTAGATGGGACTCACATTCCAATCAGGAGCCCTGGATAGCCAAATCCTGAACTCTACAGGTGTAGAAAGAATTTCTTCTCCATTAATGTCATGGCCGTATGTGATGCACACATGAAATTTACAAACCCTGTCTTAAACTGGCTGGGCAGTGCTCACGACTCCCGCATTTTCTCAACTTCAAGACTTTGTGACAGTTTGCAGGCCAGTGATTATCGAGGCTTTCTCCTTGGTGATAGTGGATATGCATTGCGTCCATACTTACTCACTCCAGTCCATAATCCATCTGATGAAAAGCAGAGGAAATATAACAGATCTCATATTAAAACAAGAACTACAATTGAAAGGACATTTGGAGTGTGGAAGGGGCGATTTGCTGTCTTGCAACATGTAAGATCAAAGCTGTGTATTACCCAAAATATTATAATTGCATGTGCAGTTCTCCATAATATTGCTTTGATTTCTGGACTTCCACTGGACATAGAAGACATGCATTTCGAAGACCCTGACGACCCAGAAGAAATGGTCAGATATGGAAATCATGAAGGTCAAGCACGGAGGGAGTATATAGTGGAGCATTTTTTTTAGTTAATAAAGTACAGTAAGGTTTATTTCATTACTTTGATAATCTGTAAGAATACGGCTTTAGTTAGTTAGGTAACTACTATGTTCCATTCATTGCTTTAATTGGTGAACGATTCATGTCATTAAATTTTAATGAAACAGTGGTTCTATATTTTTCTTTTTTTTTAAGCATTCATAAGTATGTTGCCTCAAATTGTTTAATTTTTACTTCATTGTTGTCTTTAATAATGGAGCATTAACTCAATATCTAAGGTAATTCACCTGTGAGGTTTTATGAAGACAACAAAAGGAAAGAAATATATATTGATTTTTTTTATAAATGTGCAAAAATTAAGAAAATAAACTATAATTTTTCTATACATAGCTCTGCATTTCCTGAAATTCACAGCTTATATTATAGATATATAAAAAGAAATCTTAACTGCCATACTTTGGACAATATTTGTAACTGACATGAAACTATTTCTATCTTGGGCACAAAAAGAAATGGTTCATTCCTTCTCTACAGCTATTTATATCAATGCATAAAATTTAATAAAAGAAACATATCCTCTATACAGTACTTTGCACAGTATAACATGTTTTATAAATGCCTGTATACACCAAACAAAACTTTTTTCTTTATCACAGGAAATAAACTAAATTTTTGAAAATCACAGCCTTTATGTATATCATAAATATTCACCCCCCACAAATAATTACCTGCCATACTTATGACAGCTTTTGTAAACAAAAAAATCTTTGTCAAAATAAACACATGTATGTTTATTTCCTTCAAATAAAAGTAGTTGAATATGTAAGAAATAGAAAGATTAACTTTTACTTTAGATGCCAATTTCTGAAATATTACAACATCATTCATATGTTTTAGCCATGGCATCATATGCAGTTCCTGCTTTCCTTAAAACACTATCTAACAAATCCAATGAATTATTCAATTTTTCATGTGTCTTTTCAATCGATGCAATTGCAGTTTCACTTAATTTTTGTTGTAGTTTTTGTGTTGACATCATTTCTTTTTTCAGTTTCATTTCCTCCTCATGCTCCCTATTCAATCTGTACAAATTAGATTTATGTAACTCTTCTTGTCTTTTATTACACATTTCATACACACTTGTCACCCTCCTAGTTCGCCTTGGTGTGCTCCTTGGACGAGAACCAGATGCCCTGGACACTGAATAAAGGTGTTGGTTGGAAGCATGAGCAGGAGGGGGTGAGGCAGATCACTCGATAGTGAGTCAGGGGCATTGACTGCCGAGGCAGGAGCAATGTTTGGTGAGGCAAGAGCAATGACTGGTGAGGCAGGAACATTGACTTGTGAGACAGGAACAGAGGGTGAAAATAGAGGTCGATAAACAGTAGATGAAACTACAGTAAATTGTGCAGAAGACATAGATGATGGCCCTGGGGTAGGACCAGGTAAAACAAGTGGATCATAGGACTGAGTAAGTGAAGCAGAAGGTACACTTGCAGAAGTCTTCCGCATGCCACGAGCACTGGGTTGCTCGAGCACCTCGGCAAATACTGAAACAGTACACTGTGTCAGTACACGTGTATAAGGTAAAGGTAAAAGTGACATAAGAAAAATAACACATAGAATATTTAGCTGTCAGCCACTGTTCCCGTTTGATTTTCGATAGCAAAAGGAGATTGAGCAATGGGAGTTATGAATGCACGCAAATGTATAAATCAATCACTTTTCTGTAATATTCTCACCTAGCTGCACATTTTCTAAGATATTATTTGCTTCATGTACTGGTTTACTGAAGGTCTCGTAAGTGTTATCAGTCATTGACAATTCTGCCCCATCAGTGATGATGCCAAGACCATTTCTTCTGAAGCTTCCGATATTTTGAGTGGTGGACCACCACCTGTCTTGGCTAGAATTTTTCTTTGCTGTATATCTCAGCTTTTAGTTCTGAAAGAAACATAACAAAATAAATACTGTATACAGTACAAACATAAATAATTATAGCAACAGCATAGGCTTTTATCATGCTTTCATTACCAATGTCTATGGGCAAAGTGGTTGCAAGTCGAAAATGCATAAATAATACATAGAAAATCTTACATGTGTTTCTATTTCTAATCTCAGCACCACAACAAACTCACTTTTAAGCTAGCCAACCATTTTAAAGTGAAATATATAAAGAAAATTTTTTCTGTGTACTGACGGTGACTCGAAAATATGTAATTTGACCAAATATCGGTACGACTGAGGCACGTCGTAAAAGTGCGGGTTGTAGTAGTAGAGTAGGTCGTGAGTCTGGTAGGAGCTGTATATATGTATAAAAAATGTAAATTGACCATTAAAACTTGAGAAATAAAACATGTTTATACTTTACGATGCTGATGTTCACTTACATCAGTACAGTATATCTAAAACAAACATAGAAAATTTTTTTTTAAGTGGGCCTAAATCAGGCTAACATATCTAAGCGGCTACAGTCATATCTGCTATAAAAATTATGATATGTTAGTAATGATGACTCATAAGCTTCTGACAAGTCATTTGAGGTGACACTTCAGAAACTGAGCCTATACCTGTTTGAAGCTTATCTTGCCAGAATATTTTGGCTTGCTAATTATGTGGGGACACCAGCCCCATACTTGCCAATTTTTCTTGATCCATGTCATGGTCGTAAAATATTTCCAGGCACCTAATGTAAAGCACACCAAATCTGCAGAATAATACCTGTTTCATATAATTGTATGCTGTATAGCTTCGTTTTATGACAATGGCCACCCATTGTCTCTGAAAATGGCACAAAACATGAAAATAACCTAACATTAATTTAAAATAACCTAACCTTACCTAGCTTAACTGTAACCTAACCTAACTTATTTTTTACTTAACCTAACTTTATTTTAACCTAACCTAACTTTAACTAAACTTAAGTTAATTTACCCTAATTGTAATGTAATCTAACTTAACCTCATCTAACCTAACTTTAATTAAACATAACCTTACATTAATTTAACCTATTTTTTTCACTTATCCATAACTTTTTATCAATATTTTGCATTTACTGATTTGTAGTGTTAACAAAAATGTTGTAGTTGTCATCTTTTGTATAAAATTATTACTAAAAATAAAACATGTCAATAAAGTGTTAATTCTTAGTGTTCCATGTTTTCTTCAATTTATTCACTGGCAATTAAAGATTTCAAACAAGAGAACCTAACACAGTATGGCTGAAGCACCTTTTTACTGGTGTATCCTTCATACCAGTTCCTTCATTATGAATTTAATTTTTGTTTCAGATATCATACACAATTTTAACCTAGCACGCTTAGGAGTAAAAATAAATCAATGGCTAACACTTGCACATATAAAATATATGGTCAATACTACTCAGACACCTGCATTGAATAGCATATAGGCATATATAACTTATAAAAGTAGACATAAAAACACTAATTTTGATATATAACTGAACGTGATCATAAAATTATATGAAGGAAGGGAAAATGGGGAGGTGAGATGGGAGCTTTCCTTCTGTCTACTTCGGTAGGTGGGACTCCTCACATGACACGTCACTTAAATACTGTAATCCTAATCAATTTAGTAACCTACTGGCAAAAAAACGTATTTTTAAATAATAAACTTGGAAATAAACACATACTTACTTCCGTTTTATGTGCTCATAACTTCTCTTGAGCTGCTTGGCTGAGCGAGGGATTTGGTCTGGGTAGCTGGCATTGAATGAAGCAGTAATTTCATCCCAGGCCTTTCTTTTCCTATCATTTATGGTGTTGCTTGTAGACCTGTCCTCAATGATTGGCCTTTGCTCAATATGGCGCAAAAGTGCCATGTGTTGGGTTTCAGACAGAGCTGCAGAACGTTCTCTACTACCTCCATGTTTTTATAACGCGTGCAAAAATTGTTGCCAAGTACTCAGGCGAAAAAATTATCTGTATTTTGTTTCGAACAGATAATAAAGTTCAATTTTATAAAAAAATTTATTTAACAATATATTATTGTGCCAGTATAAAATAACTAAATCTCTCTCTAAATCGTCTTTCTAATTATGTGAAATAATGCATTTGGCACACGCGCATGGCCCAAAAATTTTTTGCCATCCGACACGAGCTGCCGTGTTTACACGCTCATGTAAGTGCCTAGGAATATGGCACTCAGCGTTGGGTGGTTGCATCCCGACACACGATCTTCGAGATGATCATGATCGTCATTATTGTCGTAATGACTATCAATACGGCCCTAAGACTTTAACACCATTGGTGAGTAGAATTTTAGTTTTACATTCGTAAATATTATTTAAAACATATATGAACAGTAAATAAGTGTTGCTTTCATATTCATATGTAGAAAAACGATGATATGTTTTCACATGTACGCACTTACTGTACATATGTTGGCACTCCCAATCGTCTCGCTTTATTTCTTTACCATTAGTGGTGAGCTATTTCTAGTGTTCCATTTACAGTATTAACATTAAATAAAATTACTTAAAACATACATACAGGTATTCAATTTTTTTAAATTAAGTTCACTACAGCTACAACAGCAGGGTTTTGTTTTCTTCCGTTTCTAATGTAGAACCATCGTCACTCACGAAAACAATGCCGCCTCTCTCTGTCCATGTAATTCAATTGCCTCTGAAGATGTCTTGAATAAAGACGAAAGCTAAGGTGCTCCATTGTTTCCCTTTTCCCTGTGTGATTTTATCAAGATTTATATATATATATATATATATATATATATATATATATATATATATATATATATATATATATATATATATATATATACAGATAGACCCCGACTTACGACGGGGTTAGGGACCCAAATCCAGGTCGTAAGTCCGAAGTCCGATAGATAATTTTTTTTAAATAAATAATCTACAATGAAATACAGTACAGTAAAAGTAATGAATAATGAGGAATGGATACAGTACAGTGAAAGTAATAAATAATAAGGAATGGTTACAGTGTGACTGAGCACTTACCTTTAATGTAGTCAGCTGAATGCACATGGGGCCCCCATAATTTTCTAATTATACATGGAGACTACATTAACTGGAAACGTTTCGGTATAGAAAATGCGTGTCATTTGAAGAAAAAAAAAATTCTGCGGCGGTCGTAAGTCCCGACGGTCGTAAGTCGGGGTCTAGTCTGTATATATATATATATATATATATATATATATATATATATATATATATATATATATATATATATATATATATATATATATATATATATATATATATATATAATATATATATATATATATATACACACTGTACAGTGGTCCCTCAGTTAACGAACACAATTCGTTCCAGTTGTACTGTAAGAGCTGTGACAGCAAGGTCAGACTTCGATGCACCATGCTGGAGTTGGGATTTGATATCTGCACCATGTTCGATCATGCATACAAATTGAAGCAGTGATGGTGGAACAGCCTGTTCAATGCATCCTTCATGAAATGTACTGCTGAAGCATGTCCCGTCGTATCATCCCAGCAGCTTTGGCCAGATGGATCGCGTCACCGTATTTGCTTGCTTGTGCCAGGATTGAGCCAACAACCTTCTCAAAGGCCAGTAGGATATCTCTTCCTTGGCAATGAGCTTGCAGCTGGGGGATGTGAAAAAGCAGCTGGTCCTTCAGTCGAATAGCATGAACATCGGGCGATCCAACACCCAGCTGCTCAAGTCTCTGTCTGTAGTGTGTGACCAGGTCAGCAAGTCTGAAAATGGGTGGTTCAGTACCTTCTCTAGAAGCTTTCACCCGAGTGATGTAAGTGACCAGTTCAGAGAAAGCAGTTGGGTATGCGTCCTTGTTTGGATGAAGCTCTTGTGCTTCTTGCTCATGAGCATTTCGGTGTGTTCTTTCTTGGTTGTACAGGTCTGCCAGGCAGAAAGGGTGATACTTCAGTTCTTGTGCCACAACATCTCCTGCACTTAGTTTGGCAAGGAGTTTTCCATCTCTAAGTGTCTTCGCACATTCATTCAATCTTTTATTAAGTTTCATTGTCATTGCATGTCTTATGGGGGCAAATCTGAACAGGGGGCAAATCTGATTGCATGTCTTATGTCTTCTCCCGAAGCTTCTTCCTCACATAGAAAGCATTCTGTTGCTTTGGGGTCTCTGACCATTTGTGGTATCTTGCTACTGCTGCTCTCCTCTGTAGCAACTGCAGAGCTTCGCCTTTTCTGAGCTCTATTTAACTTTGTGTTGCTGAACAGAAGTCTGCAACTCTCATGCAACTGTGCCTTGTTTCTCCTCAAGGTCTCCTCTATCTCATCATCTTCAACAAGTCTTGCAGGGTCAAGCTTGATTGGCAGTGCATTGATTGAATGAAATAGAGGAATATTCCTTGCCAAGCTCTTGTAATCGTCATCTCCTTTTTTGGCAGGATTTGCATGTGGAGACTTTAAGATCTTCCTTCTTATCCTGTTGACAAAGACAACACTTTGCCCAGTCAGTGAGGAATGATTTGTTGGTAGATTTTGAGTCCATAACTATTATTGATCTTCAGGGCCGAGGGTTTAACCTTTTACCACCCTGATGAGCACGTTAGTTTTCATATTGGAAAAAAATTATCGACAATAAAACTGACCGATTACCTTGCATTTTCATCATTCTGGATTTTGTTTACATTTTCATAATTCTGGATTTTGTTTAAAATACAGTTAAAGTCCAAAAATCCGGATGCCAGGAATCCGGACCACCCGAGAATCCGGACTTTTCGAAAACTCAAACTTTTTAAATTTAGCGGGCTTTTGTGGGTTATGTGAATGAATGGAGTTGCTTTAAAAAATTAATTTACATAATTCTAATAATGAAAGTAATTGTAAATTATAGGTAGCTAATTTTGTTAGTTTTGTAATTAGCTTGAACTGAAATGTAAAATTTGAGGCACTATAAATCTTTTGTGTATGTGTGCATGCGTGAATGCCACAGCTGCACAGCGACAACAAACGACCACACGATCGCCACTTTAAAACAAGCAATCAAACTGTGACAACGTATGTAATTTTGAGTCCTACTCTTTCCATGTACAGAGTACAAGCCCATAATAATGGCCCCTAAAGTAGATAAACTTCGTTGTGTGAAGAGAAAGAAGAACACATTGAAATTGAGTGACAAACTTGAAATAATTAAGAAACTAGAATGTAATGTGAGCAATGCTGTTCTAATGGAAACATACAACATTGGAAAGTCTACAATTTATGATATAAAAAAGGCAAAGAATAAAATTCTAGAATTCACAGCTTCTTCTGAGCCTTACATTAAAATTGCTGAAAGAAAAAGTTTACATTGGCCCAAATTAGAAAATCTTGATAAAGTGTTGCACGAATGGTTTTTGTTAAAACGATCAGAAGGTATGGCAATTTCTGGGCCGATACTTATTGCCAAAGCAAAGTCTTTTAAGGAGCAAATGAACATTGAATCAGAGTGCGCATTTAGTGATGGATGGCTTAGGAATTTCAAGACTCGTCATGGTATTAGACAGTTTGTTTACATTTTTGTCGAGTGTTGACTTGATATTTCTTTAAAACTGCTCGTTTTGATAAATGAAGCATGCTTTATTTGCTAATGAATAAACTATCAAAATGTACCTGTTCATCTCTTCTTTATTCCTCCTTAAATTTTAATTTTAAAAGTACTGCCTGAGAATCCGGAAAATCCGAAAATCCGGACCGACCCAATCCCCAAGCAGTCCGGATTTTTGGACTTCTACTGTACATACAAATGTACTACTTCATATGCTTATCAAGTATGTATAAATTTTATCTGGTTTGTATGCCTTGATTTGTGTAAGGGTAATATAATGCAAATATATAAATAACATTTATTAAAGTTTTGCTGAAAAACTAGTCAGCTGTTATTTTTCTATGCTACCAGTGCAGACAGTTATGTTTTCTATATTTTTGATACAGCTGCTTTCATATCTAAATTTCACTTTCATAATTTATGTTAGCTCAGTTGGATGCTAACAAACTACTCTGTGCCCTAGAACATACTGCACATAAATAAGTACCCAGGCAGTTTGTAGCACTATTCAGAAATTTGCATTTTATTAAATCATGACTAGAAGAGATTTTTTTTCAGCATGAACCTTCTGCAGGAACACTTTTTTTTAAGCTTTATCCACAGCATAATATGGCCTAGTCTGATTTTTTTTTTTAAAGTCAAATGCATATGTGGTAATAAAATTCCATTGCAGCACTAATGGTCCACAAAATAATTAAAATGATAACTATTGTACAAACATATTCATTGTTAACTGATGTTTTATATTATATACTCTGCAAATTTAAGTCCCTCTGATAAAACTTTCAAGACTTATTGCATAGATTCTGTCATGTAAAAACAATACTACAAAAAGATATCCCATGTAATTATATAAGAAAACTTACATGATACTGCAATTACTTTTATTCACAATAACAATCATGTAATGCACATTATGCAATGTTTCCTGCTTTATTACCGTAATTAAACAACTGCCCAGTATAAAATTCCTGCATGACAAATATGAATAAATATTGGTGATACAATGCCTGAATTTGCAGATGGTGTTAATAGTCATGACAAAGGGTAAATAAAGAACTGCAGGAACAATGTATATAAATCTGACATGATCAAGGGAATTTAGTTATACTGTATTATCATTACTTTGGCATAAAAGACTGACTAGTGAAGCCCAAACCAAAGCCTTTGTGAGTATGTGTAGCAATTCTTGCCATCTCATACTGCCTCTCCATCGAAGAAAACATGGTCTCTTGCTTCTGCAGGATCTCAATCCCAGGATTCTCTCTCCCACTGCTAGCACCAGCTGGAGGTTCTTTGTTTGCAGGGGGCTTAGGCTCAGCTGAAGTAAAAATTAAAACTATTTTTATGGACAGTCTTAATGTCATCATTGAGTGATCTCGGATACCCTCACTGGATCCCCTCCTTTCTCCAACTCTACACTGTCTATATAGTAAACCCATGTCAAAGATAAGCTTTGAATCCTGGGTCAATGGCTGCTTTTCTAGGAGGTGAGGCTTGAAGTTCAGTGAACCAAACCGTGAGATAGTTGCACTCTGCCTACCCTGAGATAGTTACACTCAGCCTACCCTGAGATAGTTACACTCTGCCTACCCTGAGATAGTTACACTCTGTCTACTAAGTTCCCATCTAGCTAACCGACGTTCTAGTACCATTGGCACCTTTCCCCCATTTATTGCCTAGATCAGTGGTTCTTAAACTATTCCACAGAATCCCAAGGTTCTGCTCCAGAATCTTTGCCAATTATTAAGATGCACTTCTAAGAACCAAGTCATGAGTGGCACACCTAAAATTGTTCAATGTGGTGGGTAGTGTCATTGATTTCAATATAGTTATGTATGTGATAAAAAAAAAGAAAAAAGTACATCGGTATGGTATACATAATAAACCCTCACTAAAAATAAAATCTGCTAAGTTGGACCACTGGTCACTCACGTTATGACACCAAGATTATCAGTGTACCCACAGGCTTAGCTAGGAGCAGTGGTAATTTGTGCTACTTGCTCCCTTTTATCCATGGACTCTGCTTGTGCTATATATAAGATGGAAAACCTGGTTAAAATACCTCACTCTAAGACCAAAGCTCGTTTGATGAAAGTAAATGTCGAGATACTTGTACAGTTATAGTGAATGAACCACACACTTCTTTCACTTAAGTGATTCAAAGACTACAAGTTAACACGCAACCAAGTGTGATTCAAAGACTACAAGCTAACACGCAACCAAGTGTAAAATCAAAGAAACCGAAGTTTCTTGACAGCTATATATACTTTGGATTCATCTCTACATCAATTATTGTGTACATAAACATGCACAACTTATAAGTACACAACCCTTGCATTATCTTTAAATAAGGGGGTCCTCCTTATACGTTGTGATGTGTTCCAAAGAAAAGCGACAATGTGAAACATTTTATAATTATTGACAATAGGGGCATATGCATTCCAACATGAATAGTAATATCCCTTGAAAGCTCTGGATGTGTTCCTAGAGAGGTCATTATAACTGTATACTGGTAATACTTGAATATGGAGACATTACCAATAACATAACTTGTTACCTTTGAGTGATACCTTAATTTGGCTACTTGTACACTTTGGCAAATGATTAATGAATAAAAACAAGGGTATATGCAGATCCAATTTCCTGTACAGTAATATTCCCATTAGCCGGGTACCTGTATTGAAACAAAATTTCTTAACCTGTTTAAAAAAAACATATCCATGGAATTTTTCCAGGCACTGGTGAATGTTTCCATGTCCGGTTGGTCATATAGCTAGGGATACCTGAATTGTAATGATGCACACTTGCAGCACAGAATCCCCAGACTTTCCAATTTTCCCCCTGAATTTTTTCCAGCAAGTCAAACATCATTAATCTGAAAATTTACAATCGTTAAACAAGAGAGGGTGTTAAAAATTTATATCGGAAAACCGAAATATCCCTAATTAATTCAGGATCATTATGGCACCAAATTTATCTCTTGAACACAATCAGATCAGATGCTGCAGATAAAATTTTATACACTTTTATCTAGCCATAAATATTTTTGCTCGTGACCTTGGTGTAAATGTAATGAGTGTCTGTCCATAAGAACATAAGGAGTCTGCAATAGGCCGGTTGGCCTGTGCATGGCAACTCCTGTCGAGAGTTACTGCCACACTCTATCATCCATGAATCTATCTAGCCTCCTTTTGAAACTTTCCAGCATTCCAGCACTTACTACAAAGTTGCTAAGCTTGTTCCACTCATCCACAACCCTATTTGTGAACCAGTTTCTTCCTATCTCCCTCCTAAGCCTAAACTTATCCAACTTAAATCCGTGCTCCAAGTCCTATCCTGCTCGGATATTATAAGAACTTTATCTATATCCCCTTTATTGATTCCTTTCACCCACTTAAATACTTCTATCATATCTCCCCGCACTCTTTGTCTTTCTAGGGAATGCAAGTTAAGTTTCTTTAACCTATCCTGATATGGAAGGTTTCTAAGTCCCGGAATCATTTTCGTCATTCTTCGCTGCACCGACTCCAGTGAAATGATATCCATTCTATAATGAGGGCACCAGAACTGAACTGCATAATCAAGGTGCGGCCTGACTAGCGCAAGATATAGTTGCAATAAGACCTCTGCACTCTTATTACTTACACTTCTAGATATAAAACCCAATACTCTGTTTGCCTTATATCGAACATTAACGCACTGTTTTCTAGGCCGTAGGTCCGGGCTTACAAATACCCCTAGGTCTCTTTCACTCTCAGGAAAACGTTCCCCAGTACCTGAAAAATTCGGAATGTGAAATATTTTCAAGGAATGAGAAAATGTCTCCATACCCAGAAATCTCTCAATCCCAGACCCGCTCTGCACCAATTATTCCGGCTAAAAAGGATAACACCGTACTGCCTTAGATTGTGGTGTTAAGTGGATCCTTCCACCTCTGAACCTTCTACGATTACAAAATTCAGTCATTATTCTACACCGAAGAATTTTAAAATATTAAAGGAAGACTCTCTCTAACAATAGTAAGGTTCAACAACTGAAGAAATTGTGTATACTTCACTGGAACACAATACATTAAACTAGACTTAATCTTTTTCTTCCCATGCATATTTTCTCATTTTTAAATATTATTTTCTATAGTCCAAAATTTGAGTGTGTATGTTTGCTCCTTATTTTAGCCATCCTACATTATAACAGAGGCATAAGGGGGTCCATCCCGAATTTAAAAATATCTCACTTGCTTAACTGTAAACTTGGGTCCTAACTATTTTTGCATGAATAATACTGTGCCACAGCTAAGATTCCTCATCATTACTTTACAAAGAAAGGATGTTGAGCAAGAACGTACTGTATGTTAAAAAACAAAACAAGTTTACATAACTCACCACCACTTTTAACACCCATGAGTCTGCGGAACTTTTCAGCCATCTTGCCATCTCTGTCATTGGAGAATCTGGTGTTAGCCCACAAGGCAGCTTGGCCACTGGAATTCCCAGGACCTCCTGCTCCTGTTGCGGCTGCTGCTGCCGCTGCTGCCGCTGCTGCTGCTGCCGCTGCTGCTCCTGCCCCTAAACCAGGCCGCCATGTACCAACTCCTGGCCCAATTCCTCCCATCCCAGATCCACTTGGGTTAACATTAGGAAAGCGAACAGGATTACTTTCAGCAACTTCACTCATACTATTGCCAAGAGGACTCTCAGGTGTTTTATTCTGAAAAAAAAAGAAGTTTCTTTCATGTATGGTATTATTCTTAATAGAAGAGTAAAAAATCTTGAATCCACAATCATGCAGTTCATAATAAAGACCAAGTTTATATAATCAACATTTCAGACCCCAATACACGATAAATACAATTCTGCATTTCCCTACAGTATTAAATTTTCATGTTTCCACAAGTTGAAAAAGGAATTGGGAAGCAAATGATATCCTGAAAAGTTTTAAAAGATTGAGGCTAACTGTGTGGGTATTTTTCAGACACTGTGAAGAACTGCCAACCAGAAAAATAAGTTTTGTCATGATCTCAGTGTCTCTGTACAGATGATTATTTAAGAGAGGACCCTGAACAATAACTGGCGAGATGGTCAAAGGCTGAAGTTTATGCAAATATAGAGATAAGAGATCTTCCTATTCTTACATGATGGAAGGTAAAAGGGGAGAATGCCGCAATACATGAGGAAGAGTCAGCTGAGACAACATCTGGCTGGTATATGAACATATTGTACCTCTTTGTGTGTTAACGTTTTTTTCTTTAATGGCTATAAGGCACCACACATTTTAAACTTCTGAAGCCAGCCCATGGTGAAATCACAATGCTGTGGAATTTTCAATTCCAAATAAACTGTCCTTGATTATTATTTTTTACTTTTAAACTTTACTCTTTATATTTTGGTGAATTAAATTTACAATTCCACTGATTTCACTGTATGGTGCATTTTGTAAGTCAATTTACAAAATGAAATGTTCATGAAAATCCAAACAGCTGTAATATTACCTTTGGCTATACTGTACAGGTACAGTAATATCTCCCTTAGCTGGAATCCCTCAAACCCGGAACTCTCTGATAGCCGGAACTGAAATTTTCTTGGAAAATCTTTCCCAAAGCCGGAAATTTCCGGCTTTGGGAATGATTTTCCGATAAATTCAGACAAATTTTTCCTGATACCCGGAAAATTCCAGAGATGAGAGTTTTTTCTCCGGGTTTGGGAGATGGAAATCGGGCACATGTTATGGAAATTCAAAGAAAAAATTTGCCGTTACCTGGAAAATTCCGGGGATGAGGGATACTTTTCCGGGTTCTAGAGATGATGTAATGGGCAATTTCTGGAACTTCCTAGAAAACTTTTCACATTCCATAAACAACATTGCTCCTTAATAAGATTAAGCTAGTTATACTACAAAAGTGGAGCTATGTACAGTAAAACCCTAGTTATCCGGCACCTACGGATAGAGAAATATTCCAGTCAGATGAACCTCACTCTGAGGATCCCCAAATAAATCCTAGTGCTACAGGCTGACCATACAAATTAGTGCCTCAGAAAAACTTACTTCTTTAACACTTATTCCACTCTACATATACAATGAGGTCTATAAATTAAAAAAAATAGAAAGAAAAATGAAGAGCATGAGTGTGGAGTGTTGGAAGTGAACGTATGTCGAGGCAGTGGGGCTGTAACTGCATAGCCGCGCTTGATCCCTCCCCACTGTGACATCATGGCAAATACACAGCGTAGTGTGGCAGCCACATATCTGTGAATTAACTGGTCGACTGCCTGGCTGAAGTGGGTTTAGTCGCCCAGAGAATGGTTTGAGTTTGGAAGGAGCAATTTTTTGTACATAGCAATAACTATGGCAACTCATCCTCAATGCAGTAATCAAACTATGATTCTAACTGATTTTGGAGTAATTTTTATTATTTCATTTTGGTGCATGTTAGTTGAATCTGCCAGTGAGCCAGTTACCTGGGCCCTGGATAACCAGGGTTCTACTGTACTACAGTACCTGTTCAGAGATAAATTTGTTCTTATCTCAGAACCAGGTTAATTTTATAATAAAATAAAATTAAAAAACCATTCCTACCTGTAAAATCATAACAATTATAACTTATAAATAACAAATACTGTAAATAATACTTGTAAAAATAACAAAGTTGTGCCACATTTTTAAGTAACGGCATATATTTGTAATACGAGTCTGATTTTTATCATATCATGGCATCATGTTTGTAAGTTGGGGACCTCTTGTATCTTCGTTGCACCTAGACTACATGCAAACTTTAACTACAAACCATGCCAATAAATTTACCATTACAGTACTTCCAATTCCTTTTTATTCTTTACAGATGCCCTTCAATCTCTTCCTTCCCACAATGAAATTTTTAACATAATCCTTGTCACTTGCTAATTAAATTTAAAATTTTAATTAATTTGTTAATAAATCATTACTTCATGTACAGCCATCTCCCCTTTTTTCAGGAAAACTGACATAAATCCCAGCCCCCTGCTAACCAAGGGAGTATTTCAGAACACATACCCCATAGTTAGTGAAGGATTACTGTACCTCCACTCAATGAACGATTCAGTTTATTTTTGTCTTAACAAACAGCCTTACATATTGCTTAACCCTCTGAGGATGATGTTTTAACCCTTTGAGGGCAATAACCTAACCCTATGAGGATGATGCTTAACCCTTTGAAGATGATGTTTTAACCCTTTGAGGATGATATTTTTAACCATTTGAGGATGATGTTTACCCCTCCAGGACTCAAGGGTTAAAACATCAGGTTGAAATTGAAGGGGACTTACTTTGTTGCCCCATAGGAGCTTTTTCTTCCGTTCTTGTTCAGCAAATTTCATAGGATTCATGGCGGCAGGATTATAATATGAAGGGAGGGTGATGCCTGTTTGCTTCTGGACTTCTACCATCTGTGCTTCCATGCTGCGTTTTAAGAGCTCAGCTGCAGTAAGGTCAGGGTTGGCTGCTTTCAGTGCTGCAAGTTTCTGTTGGGCCTCTGTTCAAGAAACATATGAAATTCATCTTTAGTTTATGAAAAGAAGTTATAGAAGTTTCAAAGAATCTTTTCTAGAATTCCTTACTATACCACTGAATACATATGCTCTGAAAAACTCAATCTGTGAATGAATATCTTTAAGCTTGGATAAATAAAAATAGTTTGTCTATTAATGTGAAAAGGGGATAATGTGGTACAGTCGACCCTCGTTAAAACGGACTAATAGGGGGGGAAGGGTGTCCGTTTTAGCCGATTGTCCGATTTAGGGGTTAATATTGCATTATACAGCTATGTGTATGTTTATTTGAGTGCCCCGTCATAGGAGTCCGTTTTCTCTCACTTCAGCACTCCTGAGTCGTCCGTTTTCTCTTAATCTTAGAGTGCACCAGGGACTTTGTTATATCTTAGTAGTGACACAGAATTTGATATTGCAACTGGGGTTGCAATTGTTGAGGCAACCTAGGTATGTCTGATTACAGTTGGAATATTCAAGATCCATTGTGAGTGATGTTTAAAGCTTCAACTGTCTTTAAGGTTGGTAAAACTTGTCAAGTCTGTCAGTCTGAATGGCATGTGTGAGGCCTTGTGTTTGTACAACCGCTAAATATATAAATATATAATGTTATGATAATTATCAGACACACATAGGCATAACGAGGTTTATTACAAAGTGATGAAAAGGATACTGTACAGTGGCTAGTCCACAAAACATGTAGCCATGTCTCTTTATTTGAGTGCCCCGTCATAGGAGTCCGTTTTCTCTCACTTCAGGACACCTGAGTCGTCCGTTTTCTCTTAATCTTAAGAGTGCACCAGGGACTTTATTTCTTAGTAGTGACACAGAATTTGAAATTGCAACCCCAATTGCAACTGGGACAATCCCAGAACCAGAAATTTGATATGGACAGTTCAGATTTCGTCCGATTTATCCGAAATCCGGATTAAAGAGGTCCGAATTAACGAGGGTCGACTGTACAGTACACAGAATTATTGTACACCCGAGTTTTAAGCAAAAAAAATTTTTTTGGGGGGGGGGGGCACATTAGAGAATACTGTAACTTTAATTGCCTAGGTGTGGCACAACAAGTTACAGTACCTGCACACTGTTCCAGAATTTGTATTGTCCCATTTAGCAGTACACTCACTCCAAAAGGTATCATTACTGAGAGGTCTGAAGAATTTCAAAATGAACTTATTTCGTCATGTCATATTGTTTCACAAAATCATGTTTGAAGTAATTAAACATAGCTAATAAGACAAGTTTTCTTACAAAACTCATTCAGAATATTGGTTATTACTTACAAGCAACAAATCATCTGGCTAGATTAAAGTAAGGTAAAGTTTTCTGTAGCTCTTACTCATGCTGCTTGTATTGATAGGTAAAAGTCTTCTGTAGTCTATTTCTCTTAAGTTTTGATGAAGTTTATCAGTAACTACACCTTTTCACATATCCGTTGAGACATTGTTACATAACTATTTGACAAATTTCATAACCGAATGACAGAACACATATCGAATGACAATCTAAAATAACTGTTCGTTCATGCTAACGGAAGTGATTGACATAAGTTATGAAGTTGACAGACGTGAACAATAAACCGACAGTCTACATATAGTTTGAGAATATAACAATTGGAGAATGACATGCCGCCAACAGTTATTTTAGATGGTCATTCGATATGTGTTCTGTCATTCGGTTATGAAATTTGTCAAATAGTTATGTAACAATGTCTCAACGGATATGTGAAAAAGTTGTAGTACTGTATTCACATTGTCTTCTAGTCACTGAATATGATCACTCAAAAGATATCACTGAATGAGAAAGCCCAGATTTGCTGAATGTAGACCATACAAAGAAAATAATGAAAGGTGTGATATTGAGGCCAGATATTAGGTGACTTCTGACCATATGATGTGCTGGAGCTAAGTAAACCATTTGTTAGCATAAATACAACTTGGGTGTAACATTCTTGAGAAACTTAGCTTGTTCATTTATTTGTGAATGAAAGTGATTTAATACATGTGCAGTTGTACTAATGCTTGTGTTAGATATTACTTCACTGATAACATTAAGAGATAGAGCAGTGTTTATGGCTCCAAGTGCATTTTCCATCCTTGAAAGAGTACTCGAAGCTAAAGTCAATTATCTTAAAACATAGAGACATTTATTAGTATTTGTTCACATAAATTAATTAGTAGAAAAGAATCTATATACTGTATACAAACCTTTCCTGATGTCCATGGGTCTCTTTCTTTCACGGCTGCGACTACGACGACGTCTGTCTCGTGACCTTGATCTTGATCTGAAGGCAAATCGTTAAAATTAATAACAAAACTTCATAATGACTTTCTATTACTGTTTTTATTATACTGTACAGCTATCCTCCGATATATGATGGGGTTTGCATTCCTGGATATCTATTCATTATGTAAAAAATTTATATTAAAATATAAAGCCTGTGTTATAATGGGGGTCATGTTGCAGGGGGGAAAATGTTGGTCATCTTTTTATCTATACAGGTGCTCCTCTACTTACGAACGAGCTACGTTCCTGAGGCTTGTTTGTAAGTCCAACTTTACTCTTGTAGATACCAAACAGTGTAAAAAATAAAAAGATTATGGATATTTAGTACAGCTATACCCTTTAATACAGCCTTAAAACCTGGCTCACTCTTCTCCTCTTAGGTAATGTTTGTTCTATTTGGAATTTTCTTCAAAATAATTGTCTCATCCAAATTGAATACCTGTTCTGGCAGGTAACCCTGTATCTCTGAAAGTTTGTAAGTTGAACGTTCTTAAGTAAAGGAGCACCTGTACACACAATTCACTACTATATGTCATGTAAAGAATAATTACATTGACAAAGTTAACATCTTACAGGAACAGTGGTGTAATGGCATTCCTGAGCATCCAGTGTCACCCATCTTGATGGTGTAACAGCTAAAAGTTTGTATTCATTAAAGAAAATGATTGTAAAATGATACTGTTATTTGTTAACCCATAAAGTATCCAATTAAAATATCAAGTCACATTGTTTTGATGCAAAACCACAGAAAATATGGCTTTTTGGTTACCACAGGTAAAATCCCCCATTTAAATCACCCACTGGTGTCAAGGCTGTATTATTCAAGGATCCTGGGACAGCAACGTGAGTTATATTACCATTCCTGTGTATTGTAATCTTATTGTTTTATGACAATAAAAACATATCTTTATCATTCTTCTTGGTGTCATGTGTTTTTCTATTGACTTATTGATTTATAGTATTCTACAAGATAACTTAGCAAAACTTATATACATAGTAAACACAACAGCTTAAACCTTAAACAGTAGTTAGGGTCCTCACCCCCACCCCAAGGGGACTTGCTATTTTTAAATTGCATCAGCATGTAAACCTATCCTAATAAAAAGGGAATATACAAATAAAATGTCTGAATAAGAAAATATACATAAAAACTATTTAATTACATGGTACAGTATACAACAGAGTACCAAGAAATGTGGAAATAGTCCAACTCTTATTTGTATAAAACAGTGCCATACCTATTGTTTGAAAAGTATTTATCAAGACACCAAAAGGTTCAGTGTAACATGAAGTAAGAGGTAAATGGGGCTTTTATAGCCAAAATACTACAGATTATCCAACTGTGTACTGATAAATCTGTTAAAAGTACTGTATGTAGATACTATCACTGTTTATCAACTAAGATTGCAATAGTCAATTTAACAAGAACATACCTGCGGTCTCTGGACCTGGACCGTGACCTCCGTCTCTCTCTGGATCTTGATCGAGATCGTGATCTTCTGCTCCGCCTTTCGTCATCTCTTCGTTTGCGGTCGTCATCCCTACTTCTACGTGCATCTCTGTTCTCTCTACCACGTCCAGAATGTCCTAAAATTGTTAAATAATTTCTTCTTTAACTTCAATCTTAAACAAAGTAATAAATTACTACAGTTACATATTCAGATATGCAATATTTTATCAAAACATGGTTGATATTCTATGATCATACATGTAACTTTCTCAAAATTTTAAATCTTTAATCTACATTATACTGTATATTACAGAAATTAAGTTTTATAATGAGGTATAAAATAAAAATTAAGTTGTATCAGCTAAAATAGTTTACAAATAGCTATTCTCTTTTTAACTCTTTGCTATAATACAAAATTCTAGATATGAGGCGCTCCGAGTCAGAAGGGGGTGAAGTGACACCCCCAGCCAAAATGCATTTTTTTAATGGATATCACTATTTTCACCCTTCCTCTACATGTTGGCATTGGATGTAACCCTCTAGCTAGAATAGAAATATGGTAGAAAGTCCTTAAAAATTAAGGTGTGATATCACCTCAGGCCTGGAGCTATGTATCTGGCTGTGCGCTCAGTTGCATAAAGTGGCAACATCCCGTTCAGAGCGTGTGGGATCAGGAGCCCATTATTCCTGAGCGTGTGTTTGACGCCAGTACTCACGTGGACACCCCAGTAATGCTTGGTGATAGTGATTTTGGTGGTGAATTTAGTGTTGATTATGGTGATACAAGTGCTACTGGCGATGGTGCAGGTGAGAATTTAATGATGCTACTACCTTCTCTGCTGTTTGGTGAGTGTTACTATTTTTTTATGTTCTCTGATTCACCTATTATCAAACTTATTTTCTTCCAGAATGACATACATTCTTCATTCTTTGTTTGACTTAATATTAATGAGTTTGTTATAGGTTGTAGGATGCTTTTACGTTTGTCATAAATTTGGTAAAACTGTAAACTATTAATGTGTTTATGGGTAAGTGCAAGGCTACTATGCAGGGACTTTTAATGGAAAACAGTCATGCTGTTGACTCAGTGTGAAGTTGGTGTATGATTGTGTGTCGTGATGCCTTGAATGTGATTGCAAAAGATAACTTTCTTTGACATTACTGTACCTTCCATTGCAATGTCTGGCAGTCAACCTAGTACAAGCAGTACTGTCCTTAAACGCGAGTACGTACAGGCAAGTGACGCACATGCTGCTTCATACATTCCCTTTAAAAAACAGGTTTGTGAGACATCCGCTTGTACAAATTCAATGCGACAGTGATGAAACAGACATAGAATACGATGATGATAATGAGCCACAACAGGATGAAAGTGAGTCTCTTAATGACAGTAACTTGTGATAGCAGGAAAAAACCATACAGCGCGTTATGAACCATCGGAAGATCTTTTTAGAGACTGTGATGACTTACCTGTCGACAATGAATGTGACTCACAGCATAATGAAAGTGATTATCATAATGACAATAACACTTTGAACGCACAGAATAACTTTTTAGTGTTCTACAAAGCATCCAAAGATCTTTTTGCCGACTATGACGAGTTAAAAGACACCGTGGTATGCATTGACGATGATAATAACGGTAAAAGTGAGTCTGAAATAGATGAAACTGAGTACTGTATACTCATAATACAAAAAGTGACTGCTATGCATCACAAGACCATTTGCAGACTAGGATCCGGTACCGAGTTATGTGACGTGCACTGACGGCAATAACGACGGTGAAAGTGAAGATGAAAATGATGAAAGCGAGACTAATGGTGACACTAATGTATCACAGCACGGAACATACAGACTGTGAGGAGGTAGAAGTGGACAGTGATGAGACATGCATTGACCTTGATAGTGATGAAAGTGAGCCTGACCCAACAAATGCTAGTGAAAGTGAGCCCACTGTTGCCGGCATCAATAATCAATGATTTAGTTGTTGAAGAATCTGTACGCCGATTCTTAGATAGGGCAGAGAAAGACTTTGATCAATACGTGCTTGATTATGACAAGGCCATTAAAGTTATACGCATTCTTCGGGATTTACGTAACTTCAAGTTGCTACGATCTTCAGGGATAATAAAAAGAAGGAACTAAACAAAGTAAGATTATGCGAACTTTCTCCGCTTTTGTATTCTTAAGTTAATTATGTTGGGGGGAGGAAGGTTAATGGTAGGGGGATGAGTGTAATGGTGTTTCCTTATTATTACACACTATTATACTTAACAATATTATAAATCTTTGGCTAATAATAAGGACGGAAAGATAAATACTGATAGGCAAATGAGTTTTTTATTATCATTAAATTTTTTTTTTGGGGGTTTATGGGGGGTGTAAGACGAGTGCTGTTTTGGTGAACAATAACTTGTTTTACAGTATTAGCTCACAATAATAAGTAAATTTTGCAGAGAAACACGATTATTGTTGGATTGAAGTCTCTAACAACTGAACATCACGGGTAGTTATTCTCGTTCAACTCACGATAAAATAATAAATATTCACAGTACTAACTTCCAGTTTTCACAGTTTGCTCGGAGAGGGATTGAGCTGCACGAAAAAAAAAAAAAAAGAACCCTCTAGCTTTAAAAAACAAAAAAAAGTTATGGTTGTTTGAACCTCAAAAAACTTTAAACGCATTTTTCTCAGCTTTTGGAATTTGGCGCTTCACCCCCTTCTGACACGGAACGCCTCATATGATCACATCAACATTTTTTCTTTTACAATCATGATTATTAACTTACTGCATATAGCAATTATTTATTATGGAGTAAAAGATAATATGTTACTTTACCTTGACTAACTTGATCTCGCCCTGCATGACTCCTGCTAGAGTGATCCCGACCTTGCTGGCTTGGGCGCCCCTCTCTCTCCCGTGACTTTGATCTTGATCTGCATTAAGTAAGAGTCCAGTTATTACATACAGATGACACAGGGAACCAAGCCTCACATAAAATTACCTGACAGTACAATGATTATTTTTCTTATAGGGAAAAATATCAACAAAAGTTGATGGGTTTGCCTTATAGATTAAAACACACAATGCAAATGACCTTAACACAACTCCTCACAGTCATGGAGTAAATAATGAGGTTTATGGGGGCATTACCGTATTTTGCGGCGTAGAAGACGCACTTTTTATTAAAAAAATATACCTTGAAAATTACCATGCGTCTTCCACAACGCTGGCTGATGGGTTGTAGCAGAAGTTTTCTTAGGGTCAACTGAAATCAGCCCCTTACAAAGACTGTTACCTCATTACAGTTCTTAGCAATTACAAATATTCTCTACACAGTACTATAAAATAATTGATTTAACTAATATTGTTGATATACTGCAAAAAATATGATTATTTACTTACTCGGTAGGTAAAAAATAACAAATAAATGGCTGCAGCTACACAACCCTTGCTGCTGTGCGGTTTGTTTACTAAGGACAGTGGTGCGGCACCGCCATCTATTGAGGAATTGCGAAAGGTTGTCTGCTGGTCTCAAAGCGCAGGAATTTTTGTTTCTTCACACCAAAAATTTTAATTCAACTGATTTTTACAGTTGCTTTTTTACTTTTACTTTTTTTTTAAATAAAGATTTTTTGTTTTCTTTAGAGGTTGATATACATGCTTACATTTGCTAGACGCGGAGGTGACCATGTGCAGAAAATGAGATTTCCACTTCTTATAGATTTTTTTTTTAATTGATGAAAATGACGACTGATAAGCAGTTCTAAGTGATGATATTCAAAGAGGTGTGTGTACTTGTGCCAAAAGGGGCTGTATATCAAGCAACGGTTTCACTGGTGTCAGTTAGTAAGTATAAACAGTTTTTCCAAGAATTATATTTCCAAAATCAGGGTGCTTCTTCCAAGATGCAGCGTCTTCTAAGCCGCAAAATACGGTATTTCCTATTTTTCCAATATAATTTCCTCCTAATTCCCAACATTACAATCAACAAACACTGTAATGACTTACTTTACTTGGATGTAGTCTTTATATTAATCACACAACACCAAAAAAATTAAAAAATAAGATATTTAACGCTTTGTCTATCTGTTCAGGTGCCTTATAAAACTTTAAAACAATTAAATTTTTTTTTGTATAACCTCTGATCATTAACAATACTGTACTCTCATACCCAAATAACAGTGAATATTATTCTTCTGACAAAACAAACTCTCTAAATTTCATTCTTATTATTTAACAGTTTAAACCCTCTGCAAACTTGCGATGCTCTCACATTACACATCAACATGGTATCCATTGAGTCTGTCTTCATGTCACTGCTTAAAGTTAACTCCTTGAGTCCAATACAATATCATTATACTTTAGGGAACAGGAATAAGGTGCTGAACTTACAGAGATTAAGTCATTATACTCAAGGGGTTATGAGATCGTAATCAATGGAATATTCATTTGCATCATATTGAAGAGGTGAAGCTTTTTCATACTCTAAAAGTAACAATGTTTCAAGTTATCTTCTTTAAGTTGTTTCCTCCAATGACAGCCAAACTGGGAAAAGAAATCCAACATCTGAACTAAAACAAGACACTGATAATTCTACATGCAGAATAAGAATTCAATTTGTAAGCTACTTGTGCAACTTAAGGATATGAGCAACAGCATGGGGATTATATCTACTTGTTGCCTAAATCTTTCCCACCAATTCCTACTTACCTTACACTATTTTCCCAAATTTATAATTTCTTTGAGGTTTATTTCTATTATACTGTTTTCCTTATGTAAATATGGTTTCATTCATAAACTACATTAATACCATCTGACCTCTTCATTAAGAATCAGATCTATTCTTGCAGCAGCATATAAACATGGCCATTTTACTTCTTAAATCTCAAGTGAAAAATTTTCACAAATGATTTTAAGAGAGATTAACGAGTTTTGGCCATTCACTGCTAAAATACTTCCCACAGAGAGTTTATAACCTTTATAAAGCTTAAAATAACCTTAAAAACTCTTGACTTTACCTGGTCTTATGACAAGATTTGTTGCCTCCAGCAGGTGAGCGAGGCCTTGGAGACTTTGCCTTGGGAGATTTAAGGTTTGGGGATTTTGACTTTGATTTTCTGCGAGAGTGACCTTCCCTGTCTTGAGAGGGACTTGTGTGACTGTTGTTAGGATAGGTTGGGTTAGGAATAGGCAAGGGTAACATTTGTGCATTTTGTTACTACAGATATGAGAGACAATGCCTCCTTCTCATAATAAAAACTTACACGAATGCAATAGCCAAAAATTTATATTAGTATAAAATAAAACAAATTTTGTGACTAACAATATCATTCTAATTAAGCTTAAAATAAAAACACTATTAATAGTTAAAACATTCTCATGCAACTACTAACAAATATTTCACCAAGCGGAATATATACAGTAGTTAGACTATTAATAGTATCTAACACTGTTATTTCTCACTAAAACCATCCCCCATGAGGAGATATATAATATTTTGAATCACAATGCACTGCACATAACATACTTGTATAAATACATCTTACTCCAGCCTACATGCACTTGGTGGAATGCTTGACTATAGAATGTACCATAGAGAATTCATAATTTTGAGGTGTGAACTAAATCAGTTTTCATCCACTTATGCTCGTCTACTCTTTAAGCTAAAATTAATTCTGCAAAAGGAAAATTTACAAATACTGTATTGAGAAACTTCAAACAGGCATTTGCACAAACCTGCCTTTTTCCTGATACAAGCAAGAAAGTTATGTAAGTAACACTGATGAGATTGATGGAATGAATCTCTGGTCTAAATCAATGTTGTTTACAATTTTTTTTTAGAGTGAATCTTCAATCACATATCAGCTAAACTCTCAAAAGGGATGGATGTTTACCAATTATATGCATGACTTAACATGACCAATGAGAAGAAAATTATCATTTCATATCTTGAAAAAAAAAAAAAAAAAACACATTTCACCTTTCAAGCTTTAATGAAAAAAAAGAGCACCAAAAATTTATTTTCTTACACCCTTTACCACTTATTAACAGCTAAGTGCTGTACAAGCAGCACATGCGTAGTAAAATAATTTGCTGTACAGGACCACTGCCTTACTGTAATTAAGATTACAGTAGAAGCTTTTAGGTCAAGAGCAAAGAGTCTAACCACTCTGTAATGGCACCCTAGAATAATAAACATGCATATGAACACAAGAGGTCACAAGAGGCATCATTGTAAGCAAAACAAACAATTCTTGCAGTTAGCCAATGAATGAGTCATACAGTCAGAACTGGTACTCATACAGCTAGCTAATGTAGCTAAAATCTCATCTTCAAAATGAACCAACCAGGTACAGTATGTATCTACGCTTGAATTCTTTAAGACTTGAAAGATTATATCACATTTAAATCTATAATTCACAGGTTTATTCAGCTTCTCTCCACATACTGTAAATACACTGTACAGCCCAACCAAATGGTATCAAGACCTCAGGGTCTGGTGGAATAGAAAACACAGGGGTAGAAATTCACCATTTTTTCAGTCGCCAGCAGGACTAGTAGATTTGAAAATTTACTAGTCCTTATGAATTTTTAGTAGCCCTTAAACAATTTGTCAAGAAACATTAAACATTGGCACTTACTGGGTTTATACAAAGTTCTATTTACTGTGTGACATTTATTTACTAGTAGAAAACATGTTAAATCATAAACCAACACTGGAATAATCACATGTTAACTAAATTATTAACATGAAGCACGGATTTACAGTGTGAATACTATAATAATCACATACTGTATTAACTAAATTAATTGCATGAAGCACATTCCATTGTGATGAAGCTATTTGGAACGTACCAATATATGAAAATTATTTCCTAATCCAAATGTAAACCATATTCATCCACTTATTTTGAATAAAGACAAAAAAAAATTTCATATTGTATAACTAACAAGTGAACTTGCTGTGTTTAGGTTTGTGAACTGCACTTTAAATCCTCTGATTATTATCAACGGTCATCAAGTTATTTCGATGAACACACTGGACGAACTATAACATACAAATTGGATCGACTTCGACTGAAACCTGGTGTAGTTCCACTAGTGCTTCCCAATTGGATAAAAATAATATATAATTTATGTAAAAGAAATAATGATAATGTTAGAGTAAAAAATAAGAATGTGCGAAAGCTTTTAACCATGACCAAATTCTACTACTGTATCTTTATAATTCACTTTGTTCTATAATACAATAGTCAATTACTATTTGATTTTGAATGTATGTGTGAATTGGTTGTCAAATTTTGTATGCGTTATTATTTTTCGATATCTTGTTTGTATAAATATGTACTTGAAATTGTTTTTTTGATAATAAATGGTGTGATTGTTGATGGAAAGGCAGTTTTCATCACTTGTCAATTGTTTTTATTCTTGCCTATTATACATTCAGGTATTAAATTTCGCTGTCATTGCTTTTATATATTATGTATAGAAATGAATTCGTTAATAATAATTGTATATCTACATAATTAGACTGCGTTTATTCATTACAATGCACGGTTTCCATACACCGACATGAATAGCTGTAGTATCTGTGTGTGACGTCATACAATCCCTGAACTGGCCTGGTGTTCTAGGTGGCATTGCACTAACTCATTTGTCCAGTTTTATCACACTAAATTATATCATTGAGTGTACAGTGGTCCCTCGGTTAACGAACGCTTCGGTTAACTAATTACTTTCCATAAGAATCTTCAATTCGGTTAACGAACAAAAATTTGATCAACGAAATTCTTACGAAAACATGTCAACACGTTTTCGCTTGCTCATCAGCTGGTAGATTAGTCCGCCAATACAGTAATCGGTTCTACAGCTTACATTCGTTCCCATTGGAATAAATATCAAGAAGGTTGTGCTATTAAATATTTTTCCATGTTTTATATTAAAATTATTAGTCATTTTAACACTTATTTAACATAATTGCAGTACAGGGAACTAGTTTTTGGTGCGCCCATCAGCCACTTCACTCACCCACCAAGGCATCTGTTTGTGTCTCTGTTCAGTGTAGGTAACATCTTGCTTGTGGCTCTCTTGAACACAGTGTATTTTTACGTTTTTATAGTACAATTTTTGGTCATTCTGAAATTTATTTAACATATTGATAATATATAGCGCAGTGCTGTGTTGATTTAAATCAAATAATCTTTAATTACAGCAATTGAACTTAAAATTTTAGTGGTGAAATTGTATTGAATCCAGCATGGGTCCAAATAAATCTAGAAAGGCGATTTCAATTCAGGTGAAACAGGAAATCATTAAGAAACATGAAGAAGGCATTAGAACAAATGTGCTCAGCAAAGAATATGGAATGTCGGCATCAACTGTGTCGACAATTCTTTCGCAGAAAGACAAATTTAAAGAAGTGAAAGTGAGAGGCAAATCTACCAGAGAGTTTAAAGGTAGATCATTCATTTCAGAAACAAAGAGGTTGCTTCTCATTTGGATGAAGGAAAAACAAATGAAAGGAGATTCAATTTCTACTGAATTTATTTGTGAAAGAGCCAGGGAAATTTACGAACATTTGAAGGAAGAGCAACCTAGTTCTTCTGAAACTGAGTTTGAAAAGTTTAGGGCCAGGAAGGACTGGTTCGAAAAATTTAAGAAAAGAAGTGACTTTTTTTGTGTTGTTAGGCATGGTGAAGCTGCCAGTGCAGATAAAGCAGGAGCAGCAAAATTTATAGTGGAGTTTAAGGAACTGGTGGATGAAGAAAATTATCTTCCACAGCAAGTGTTCAATGTGGACGAAACTGGGCTGTTCTGGAAGAAAATGCCCAAAAGGACATTCATCACCAGAGATGAAGCCTCTTTACCTGGGCATAAACTCATGAAGGACCTTCTCACTCTATTGCTTGGTGCCAATGTTTCAGGGGATTTCCGACTGAAGCCTATGCTTGTCTACCACTCTGAAAACCCCAGAGTGTTCAAGCAACAAAAGGTGGTAAGAGGACAACTTGGAGTTTATTGGAAGTCCAACCATAAGGCATGGGTAACAAGACAGCTCTTTAATGAATGGGCTGTAGAGGTGTTTTGCCCTTCTGTGAAGAGCTACCTAACCACCAATAAACTCCTTTACAGGCTCTACTCCTTCTGGATAATGCCCCTGGTCATGACCCTGAACTTGCCAGAACTTTGGAGGCTCGATTTGACTTGGTCAAAGTGTTGTTTTTTGCCCCCCCAACACTACATCAATTATGCAACCAATGGACCAGAATGTAATCAGCAACTTTAAGAAGCTTTACATGAAGAAAATGCTCAGGTGTCATCATCAGGCAACTTCCACTGATCCTGATCTAACACTGGCACAGTTCTGGAAGACGCAATACAACATCCTGGAGGCTGTAAAATTGATTGTGTCATCATGGCAAGAAGTCTCTATTCGATCCCTGAATTCTGCATGGAAAGCACTGTGGCCATCGGCAGTCCATGATTTTGAGGGATTTGATGAAGATACGGAGTTGGACAAGGAGAATGTGTCTGTTGGTCAGTCAATGGAACTCGAAGTGGAGGAGGATGATGTGGAAGAGCTTGTGATGTCTCATGAGCAGGAACTTACTGAAGACTTGAAGCAACTGGGTGAGATGTTAGAAACTGACAGTGGTGAGGAGGATAGGGAAAGTGATGACCTATGTCTTCTTCCGATTTAAAAGATGTTGTTCACCACTGGGAGATGTTCAGGAAACTGGCTTCAAGGCACCCTGATGTGGAAACAACAGAACCTATTTTGTGTAATGTTGAGGACAAAGTTGTCTCCTTCAAAAATCAGTTAATGATGAGGAGGAGCAATGCCCCACAACCAAAAATTGAGTTTCTTCTCTAAAAGGCAGCAGGAGAAAGATGCTACCCCTCAGCCTTCCACTTCAAAAAGGAGAGAAGATTTTCCTGTTGGAGAATCTGTGAGACCAGAGGTTCCTGACATTATTATGGAAGGTAACTCGCCTTCCAAGAAGCAGTAAAATGCTTCTCCTCCACCCCCCACTTCCTTCTCTTCTCCCTTCTCCTCCTCCACCTCCCACTTCAAATTCACATCACCATCATCAACCAGGAGCCTTCTACATACACACCTCAAAGTAAGTGTACTTTACTGCATTTTTTTTTTACTTTGTATGTAATTTTCGGTGAGCTGGAACCAATTACCCAAAATCCCATTGAAACAATGGTTTCGGTTAACGAATGAACCTCTGGAACGAATTGAGTTCGTTAACCGAGGGACAACTGCATATATTCTATTTTCATTTTCATATAAAGTGCTATATACAGAAAATGGGTATCCCTTCCGCTTGCAATACCGGTGATACAAATAAGATAAATTAGCATTAATAGTGTATTCTCTATATGAAAATCTTATACACATTGAGTGTGTCTTACCACTGTCATCGGCCCACTCGCCCATCGGGCGTTCCTAGACCAGCAAAATGGTAAAATCTTGTCGCCCTTATGATATTTTGGTCGCCTCGGGCGGCCGGGCATATGTGAATTTCTACCCCTGAAACGAGAGATAACCTCAGATGCATTCATGCATCAATTCAGTTGGGTTGGGCCTCACCTGATATTTTATATTCTTTCAGACACCTGGGGTCTCGATACTTTTTGGACTGGCTGTACAGTATATATTGTCACCAAGAGGAATGAAGATCCTAGATATAATCTTACAGTATATGTATCCAATATACTGTTTGACTAACTAGTTATGACTAAGGTTATAGGTAAATAATCTGAAAAATGGCAAGCTAATCTGTACAGTACTAGTTTACAGATATTACTGAAACAATAAAAATGTAAGTACAGTAATCAAGTGTTCCATGACCTATTAAATTATGCAACACTAATTCAGAATACTTTAATGAAAAAGATCAAAACAAACAAAATCAACCAAGTCGGACTTTCTTGTGTGTAGCTGCCAAGATAAGAAAACATAATAAGGTGTGAGAAAATTAGGTGCCATCTCAGGATGGTTATGCTCAATGCTGTAAAATATATAATTACCGTAGCATCAACTTAGGAGAGGAAGGATAAGGATGATGTATTTACAAGTGTATATCAATGACACAAAATGATATACAGTATGTGTAGAATATATCTGTCCCAATGGATAAAATCTACAATGATTATGGTACTGTACTGGATATGAAGAACTTGCAACAGCCATCTGATATGCAGAAAAGAAAAGAGACCCAGTTTAATGAGGTAGCTTATTGGACCTTACCTTTCCCTTCTATCTCTAGGTGCACCACGATCCTCTCCTTGTGATGATCGCTGAGCTCCTCCACTAGCTAAACCCAACAAGCGTTCTTGAAGACTAACAGTTAAAAAAAAAAAAATCTAAGTCAGTTATCTTTCACTTCAACTAAATGAGCTTTACAGTGGACCAAATAAGTCGAGAACTTCAAGACACCCTGAATCTGTTAATATGATTTCACATACAGTACAACAAATAGATTTCAATACAGACATATAATCATTCAAGATAAAAGGACAAAATATTATACACCATACAGTATTCACATCCCCTAAATGTGACCCCATCTGTTCCACGAATATGAAAGGTTGGTGTGAGTACCTGGACCTTTGGCCCTCTTTGGCTTCACTGTGATACTTGTGACCATCACTACTGTTGGTGGCGAGTGGGGATGCTCCGGGGGATGAGCCGGGTGGCGACGCTCCTGGGGGCCGGGCTGAACTGCTCGCCGGTCTAACATTTCCTTTCTCCTTATGCTGGTTATGGTGTGGCTGCTCATCGTCCGAGTCCTGTAGGGAGGTGCTGGGTCAACGCATAAGGAAAAAAATTAGTTGTCTTGCTCAGACACCCAGGGAAATATGTAGCAATTTCCAGAAACTGATAAGATTTACAGTTACAGAAAAATAATACTGTACTAGGTAAACATTTTGTCTTCAAATACACATTTTCTATTAAGTTGACTAAAGGTAAATTTTTATGAAAAATATTCTAAATCCCAACAATTTACAGTCTCATGCAGTTAAAGAGAAAATTAAATAACAGAGAAAGTGAAAAGCATCTACCAAATTGAAGATCCATGACTGGAATATGTGACACTTAAAGACAAAATTAAATGACAATGAAAAACTGTTTTGTGATAAGAGAAAATTAAGCGTACTGTCTCATCATATCTGTTCTGGTAAATGCTTGCAAAAATCTAATCCTTCCCAATGATCTACAAGAGATTAAATAAGGAGAAAATAAAACTTTTACACTGTACTCTAGACAAAGAGAAAATGTATGTACAGTATATATACCTATATATATATACAGTATATATATATATATATAATGTACAGTACTATATGGTATGAATATCCATACAGTATTACCTAAATTTATATCAAATAAATATAATGTCCAAGGGACCTTTTAAAAGTTCTCTACGCTCCCATTCTTATATTACAATAACCACTTATGCAAGACACCTTCTGGATAGTCTCCATGCATAAGACAGAGGGAGGGATCTGCTCATACTGTATTTATAAAATTTGCTCACTCAAGCCACACTCATATTCCTATACCAAGGATTACTGTACAGAGAACATGTGTTTATATTGCTTCAGTTAATCTGTACATGTCCCCTGATTCCCTAATGTTAATGAGAACATCTACATATTTTCACAAGGGTTTTAAGAACAATTGAAATTTGGATATATGATAAGTGTTAACAGGTTACTTAGCAACACCACATTGCTTCATCTAAGGAGATGACCGAATCATTAGTCTTCAAAACTACCACTTGCCATAAAGTGAACCAAATATGTAAACAAGTCGATAAATACACCATACTTTGTGCACAGCTACTATAGCCCATGTTAAAACCTATGTACCCTACCAAGTAAAAATACAAAACTCGGCAACTGTCAAAATTTCATGAGAACCTTTATATATACTGTAAATGGTAATATTTCTCTTCATATATCACTTTACAATTCATAGAAGGTGTTGTGGATGAATTTAGTAATGAATGCTTCATATGAAAGGATAAATCATAGCTACAGTATTTCCCATATGAAGGCCACGAGCATTGGTACAAAATTATCCTGTACCTTCAAGGGCTTTGTATTGATTTATTGAAAGTTTCCTAGGTTCACCGGATTACTATTACAGGAGTTATACCCCTTAAGGAACAGCACAAAGTAAGTGAACTACGTGAGTCAGTGGTCTGTATGCCATTAACACTTTAAGGTATTAGTACTGGCTGACCAACTAACACACTAATTGACCCTTCATAACAGCCTCAGCATGATATTTTTCTGTTACATTATCATTTTCTAATACAAAATTTTTTAGCTAGCTAGAGCTTTTCTGAACTTTACCCTAATAAAGTAAAAATGCCAATTTAATAATAATACTGTAAATGATATTGATAATAAGAAAAAGCTTTTGAGTTCAAATCTGACTTCAAAACTTAACCCTTAAAATTTAGAACTGAAAATCATACACTGGTTCACTGTTACATGGGGTAGTAACCTGCCTTGAGAGGATGGAGACTTTCTATGTCAATGAGGCAGAGTGACAAGTTCTGCAAAAGCACCTCCACCTAGACTAAATCCTGGGTCTTCAGTTGTCAACCATAGTGCACTATTTCACATACCACACCAAACTCTGGAAAATTCTCTTAATTCCAACCCAAAACAGTAGACACAATTGTCATGAAAGAAAGAAATATAAAAATAAAGTTATAATTTTTTTTTTTACAATACCCTATTAGAAAATATTAGGAAAGGAACATAAATCTAAATACTGTACTGTATTATTTTAACAATACAAGACCATCTAAAAGAAAAAGAAAGTACAGTATTTATTTTCTTGGTGAATAACAAATACACTGTACTGTATATCAAAGAGTGACACCCTAGTTTGGGCGATGCCTGGCTAGCCCTCACTTCTGGACCTTATCCACAGAGGTTGATGCAAGATGATGTGAACATGCCTACAATAAACATTTCTATGTGCATGAATGTTCAAGTACTGATGAATAGGTATCCATATTCTAAACTAATTCCTTAATATCCCTTATTAGAGTGAAATTGTAGCGCACAGTTCATTATAAGTGGAGCACTCTGCCTTGAAAGATGAAACCGAGATATACCACAACAAATATACATTATAGAGTATTTAAGTGATGTGTTTGTACAATGACAACTGGGTAACCGAGGAATTCAAAATATATACCAGGTATGAACACAGAAAGCAACGAGAACTAAAACTGATGATTGCAATAAGAGGTTTGGCTTTGTGAATATATAATAATGATGTTGGAATAAAAAAAAATACTGCTTTAGATAACATAAACAGTGTTAAAGATGTTTAAATGTTGTAGCGACAAATGAGACCAGGAGATACTTGGTTTTTAGTGTTACCTCAAAGATAAGAAAAGATCCATAAATCAGATGAGCACAAGGAAATTTTCATGACAAAAAAGTAAGAGCCAATAGAAAGATCATTCACACTCCATTCAGGTGATGAAAACTAATCATCATTTACAAGTTGCTACAGTAGTGCTATTTTAATGCGACCTGTAACGTATCATTTTACGGGTATCCCTCGTTTAACGATGGGGATACGTTCCTGAAAATCCATCATTAAGCAAAATTATCACTAAATGAGGGATACGAGCAATAATATCCTAAACAAGGGACAACAAGGAATAACATCCATGGAGAGGGCATGTAATTGTGTAGTTGATTCATCACCCAGTAGCACTCAAGAGTGGGTGGGGCTGAGCTGTGTTACTGTTCAACTTGTAATTTTGAATAGATATAGAGTATTTTTTAATATACTGTGTGTGTGTGTGTACTGTATATATATATATATATATATATATATATATATATGTATATATATATATCTGTGTGTGTATATATATATATATATATATATATATATATATATATATATATATATATATATATATATATATATATATATATATATATATATATATATATATATATATATAGTAAAACTTCGATTAACCGACCACATATGGGGGGAAGGGGCCGACGGATAATCCGAAAGGTCGGTTAATAGTACATAAAGTCTACGGAAATAAAACATACATTTTCAAAGTCCCTTTCCCTAACCTACCTCATTTAATTCCCTCTATTTATTTTTGTTCATTTGCCATTCATATTTCAATAGAATTTGCTTTAAACATTAACCACTTTAGTAAATAAATATGAACCAGCACAGAAACCGTGAATAAAAAATGGAAAAGTCAAAGAACATATGTCATCACAAAAATTGTGACCAAGTCTCAGGTTGCTGATCTGACTTTCTGCCTCATTTACACACAATTGCAGGGTCTCAATTGTTTCTCTTACTATTGACAACACAACATACATACAGGTACATTGTTTCTCACTCTTGATTTTTTTTCATTTTTGCATTTCTTTATGGTTCTTTATTACTATTAATATCACTATTATCATTATTATTACATTATCGCCCCCCAGGCCCCGATGTGGGTCAGTGACCTATGCCCGGGTGGGCTAATCCCCATATTAAAAAAAAAAAGCGTGGGTTTGGATTGACGGTTAATCGGAGTCGGTTAATCGAGGTTTACTGTACAGTGACCTCGTTAATCTAACACCTCGTTAACGAGCGAACACCTCGATTAACAGGAAATTTGATTAACGAACTGCCTTCATAAGGATCTTCAATTCGGTTAACGAACAAAAATTCGGTTAACGAATTTCTTGAACCGACCTCAACATGTTTTCGCTGCACTGACCGGCAACCAGCTTTAGTATCAGTCCGCCAATACATTAATCGGTTCTAGGGCTTAAATTCCTTACTATTTTAGTAAATATCACGAAGTTTATACTATTCAATAATTTTAAAAGTTTAATATTCAATTTTTTAGTCATTTTAACGATTATTGAACATAATTGAAGGTAAAGTGACTAGTTTAATGCGCGGCATCCAGCCTCTTAACACAGCAAACAGGCGTTAGTCTCTCTGTGTTTTCACTGGAGGTAACATCTTGCTTGAGACTCTCTTCAACTAAACACTTTTTTTCTGTGTTTCCAAGCAAATTATTGGTCATTTTGAAATATATTTTACATATTGACAATATATAATGCAGTGCAGTGTTGATTTAAAGAAAATAATCTTGAATTACACCAAGAGAGCTAAAATTTTATGGGTGAAATGGCGCTATGGGGTGACTTCTCTTCCACCCCAATGCCTTTCTTCTTCCTTCTCCTCCACCCCCATTCTAAATCCCATCATCATCATCATCATCATCATCATCATCATCATCATCATCATCATCATCATCATCATCATCATCCAGGAGCCTTCTACAAACACACCTCAAAGTAAGTGAACTTTTCTACCATTTTTGTTGAATTTAGAAAATTTTCGGAGAGCTGGAACCAATTACCCAAAAACACATTGAAACAATGGTTTCGGTTAACGAACTTTTCGGTTAACGAACTTTTCGGTTAACGAACGACCTTCTGGAACGGATTGAGTTCGTTAACCGAGGGGTCACTGTATGCAGTCCCCGACTTATGAGGGGTTAGGACCCAAATCCAGGTCGTAGGTAGTTCTGCTATAACGCGATAATTGTGTTCTTGTAAAATATCGTGTTATAGAAAATCGTAATAAAATAACAGGGCTTATGGAGAAAATAGGGTTAGGTGCAGATTACTCGAAATCGAAAAAATTTAGTAGTTAGCCTAACACAAAGGATAGCACAGTCTAAATAAATGTTACATTCATATCTAATAATGAAATCATACAGTAAA